TTTTTCATGGGGAAAAATCTTTATATAAATTATTATCACATGGGATTAGTATTTGATATTTCTTCGAATTTATATATTACTTCTTTGAATATGTTAATGCTTTATACTTAAAAAATTATCGAATTAAATGAAAACATAATATTATCAAGAAAATAGTAATCCCTCTTTTTCAATAATTTTTACTGGTATTTCTATATTTTTAAGGCTGTATTTTTAAGCTACAATTAAAAATATTTATTAGTTATGTACAATGGTTATAAATGATAAATTTCTATTTTTAATAGGCATTTGCAATATATAGCTTTGTAACACTAGTATCGCAAAATTCTTTAAGTAATGAATTTTATATTTTTGATGCATATAATAGTTTCCAAAAATCTTTACGGTATACAAGCAATAAAAATAATTTAGTCCTCTCTCGTTAATTATTCTATATTTTCAACTTGTCAGTTTTATTTTAAGATATTTGCGTGATATTTATGTGACTTTTGTCTCATCGTTTAATATAACAATGAAAGATCTAATAAGTAAATTGCACGTGACGAAAGATTTAATAACAGATAACGTATGCCGAAACTCGCCTATGAAACACAGAGAATTCTTCAAGGGTCAAATAGTTCAGGCTCTGTTTTGTCATGTAGCACTTTTCGTCAGAATAGTAATGTCATCGTATTATAGGAACAAGTGGTTCGTGGTCGATGGAAATTAGGTACCTCATTCGCTGCACTTAAAACTTGAGAGAGTTAGAGAGAGGGAGAGAGCGAGAGAGAGAGAGAGAGAGAGAGAGAGAGAGAGATTATACGTATGCGTGTGAGAAAGAGAGTGAGTAAGAGAGTTTAGATGAGAGAAAAGGCAAAGATCTGAGCAATAGGCGACACTCATTTAGCGGTTCCCGTGCTTCACATCGTGAATTTAGATCGAGGACGCAAAGGCCGAGTCTCTAAGCGTGCGCAACAGAAATTGAAATGAGGGAGTAATAATAAAAGAAAACGACTAGTGAAATGAGTGCTTAAATACGTAAGTTTAAATAGAAAGATATGTAATGTTGAAATTCGTTTTTAAAAATCATTGGATACTTAATCGTATTAGCAAAAAAGCATTATTTGAAGTGGAATGCTCACATTAATAGATATTTACATTAATGAACATATAGTCTTTGGAATTATGAACAATTAACACCTTTATAGAACATTAAAACTTTTATTAATTGAATAAAATAGTTGATAAAATTTCTTCATAGACGATATACAGTAATATATATATATACATATCTACAATCCTACGAAGAAAAGATAAACAATCATGACAATTATATTATATTTTCTTAAAGTCTTTATAGTCTTGAAATCTCAACACACAAATTTAAATAGATTTAATGCCTAATTCGTTCAAACACGATAGTCTAAATAAATATAATTTAAAAAAAAATTATTTGAATAATATATAATTATATTTTGAGGAGCGAATTGATGGTATAGACAATTAATGTTATATAAATTATTATGATTTAGAAATATGAGACAATTGTCTGAACTTTTGTTGAATATGTGATAAATATTTTGTATTCATATTCAGAATAAATTACTCATAAATTAAAATAAATATTTGATATCCTGGTATTTATTATTAAATTAAAATTTTTACGTACTTTATTTATCGCACAATATTTATACACATCAATCCTATTTGTTAATAGATAAAACATTTTTCAATGAATGCATACGTCTTTAAACAAATCGAATCGAATCACATAATTATTATTCATTTATTTCTTTAAATTTATAAACATTTATATGGTATGAACATATTTTATATGCAATTATTGTAAGAATATATTCGGAGCTGTTAATTTTTCTGTTTATAATTTTTTTTATGTTTTCATAATTTATTATTAATTTATAAACATTTTACAATATTTTACTGAAAAATATTTCAAAATTTTATAGAACTCAAAGAATGTAGACTTTATAAATTATTTTATTTTTGATAAACAAATATAATTTTTTTAAAATAAAATAATTAATATTCAATCACATATATTTATTATTTATACAGATAGCAACTTTTCCCTTATTACCATAATACTAATATGACTTGCAATAATAGATTAGTATAATTTATAAATGTAGTATAAATATGAAAAAAAAATTTTTATTTCCTTATAAAGAACATTTGAACAATGATATACAAGATATAAATGTATTATTGAAATACATAAATTATAGTAATAAGATAAGTACTATTAAAGAAAGAAATTTTTATTTATATATGCCTCAAAAATAAATTTATTTTTAATAAATGCAGATATTTTCCTAATTATCAATATTTTCTCATCATCCTATAATTATAATTTATATAATTCTTTCGCGAGATATTTTAATAAAATGATATCATTCTATTATATTATAATTCCATAATATTATATTGATAGGCGGTGAATTATAGAATGAGTTGAAAAAATAATACAGGTTTTGTGAATCATAAAAACATTATTTATATTTATTTGAAATAATTCTGAAAAATACTTATAAGTATTTTTTCAATTGAATGAAAAGATTTTTTTAGTAATATACCAAAATTTATGTATTTGAATTTCTTCTGAAAAAGATTTAAGAAAATAAAATAAAATTTAGATACTATAACAAAACTTATTCTTAATTAACTAAATTTAATTGCTTGATTATTAATTCATTGACATACAATAGTTTTGTATTTTATGGCCATATACAATCTTTTTACAAAAATAAATAGTAGGACAAGGAATAACAAGGGTTATTATTAAGAATATCTACGTCGAACTTAAAGTAAATTAGAACAACGGTACTGAAGATATCGTTGACATCATTTAAGAAATGGCGTTTCGCGATAAATGCACTTAAATATTTAACTCGAATAACCGAATGCGAGTTTATTTTAATATTAGATTAGAAATATTTTAAAATCTCAAATTATAGGAAAAATTTTTGGTTAGATTCGGTAGATTTAACATTTCTTCCTGATATTATTGCTAATAATTTAATTTTTATAATAAAATGTATGATATGATTTCTGATAATTACTTATCATATCGTTATATGCAATTTTATTAATAAATCAGAGAAACATTGATTGTTATGGTTAAAAGATTGCGTGATATTTATGTGACTTTAATTGTTGAAAGAAATTTAAGTTTCAATTTTGTATAATCATAAAAACTATATAAATATTCAATTTGATTTAATAATGAATATAAATAAAATATTTCAAATATTCTGTTTTACATTACATATTGGGTATATTAAATAAAAGTATTTCAATAAAAATTTTCATATTTTTTAATGTCTCCTTTTCACTTACACTGTCGTTGTAGTGTGAATTTCAAAATAATCTGATACGACTTTAGAGGTAGGCGCGTGTTTTGGAATCGACAAACAAATGTGACATCGAGGTGTTTCCATCTTGCGAAAAAAAAAAAAATCGGTGTCACAGATGTGTGAACATAAATACAATATTAGCTGACAAGATAATTTAGCACACTGATACTAACAAAGAGATTAGTTATCTAAAATAAACGCAAACAAAATTAGACAAAAGAAAAGTTGATTCATGAATTAATAACTTGAAATAAGTATATTTTCAAAGCATACTTAACGATTTATTTGATACAAGTATAAAAAGAATTACCCTTACATAAAAATCTTAACTTATATTGTTCTTACAACATAGCTGATTTGGATAAAATAATGAACTTTTTTCCCATTTATTTTTAGAGATGTTTTAGAGAAGTTAAAAAGCTTGAAAGACAATAATAAAAATACATTTGTACAATAAAAATTTGCCTTAAGAATGAACTGAATGTAATATTATAGATAAACATAGTTCAATGATTTCCAAAAGCATAAATTAATGTAAAAAATTATGATTGAAATAATAAAATATTATAACCAAACTGAATATATATTTTTTACTGTTCTATTTTCAAAACAGGAAAAAATAAAAATTGGATCATATTATGAAACATCATTTTTCATGTACGTACGAATTGTATAAATATATTTCAGAGAATAATAACGTATTTCAGTGATAATTTATTTCATTCAATAAAAAATATTATTCGAATGATGTGGTTTATTGCATTTTTGCGTTGTCGTTTGAAAAGTAGGGCATTATGAATATAAAATCTTTTTTATGCTGTCGTTAATATTGAAAAATTAATTTATTATGTTAATAGATTAGTATCTATTATTAATAAATGGAGTTAATTTATATTAATTTTATAGTATAATTAAATTGAACATTTCTGGAGTAATGAATTTATATTAAAATAGAATAAATTATAAAAATTGTGTATTAATTGATGATAATAAAAAATTATTAATTCCTTATTAATTAATTATTTTCTAAAAAAAATATCATTTAAATTTTATCGGAACTATTGCAAAAAGCTACATTTCCGTATACTACATCGAACGTAAATTGAACGAAACTATCGTGAATTTTTATTATTTTCTTCATAACTTGCATCTATTATTTATTACCCATTGCATTAGATTTATAATATTTTTTTTTTATTTTATTTTATTTTTTTAATAACATTTTAATAGAAAATGCCTTGAAAGAAATTTCGCCTAAATCTACAGGAGAATTGTTTTCAAAATGAAATTTATTTTTCAGATATACAATCAATTTTAATTAATTTACTATAACGCCATTTTAGTTATATTACTTATTTGTAATTGTACCTACTGAGATATGAAACACTTATGGTTGAAAAATTGTATTTAAAAAAATTAAACAAATAAAATAATTAATGATATTGTACTATTGTTATTATGTCAATGTATAATATATAGTATGGCATGATAAATAGTAATGACATTGAAAAAGATAATACACGTATAATGTAATGAAAAGAAATTTATTCTTATCTCAATTTAAATTATCATGTAAAGTTCAAAAACTATTTATCGAGCAAATACATATATTAGGCTAACATACATTGATAACAACATTTATTTCAGATGGCCAATTTGAGAAATACCCTGGGGATACAAGAGTTGACTGATAAGAAGTCGGGATTATATCGAGCGCTTGTGGCGGAATTCCTCGGCACTTTGCTTCTCAACTTTTTTGGTTGCGGTGCCGTGATTACTGGTAGCATTCTTGCTATCAGTTTTTCCTTTGGTTTGACAGTCGCTGCTGCCATCCAAACCATCGGACATATATCAGGCGGTCATGTAAATCCCGCAGTGACACTTGGTCTTCTCGCTATTGGGAAGGTAATCATTTTATGATTTAATATTTTACTTTTGGCGGGGTGGGGGCGAGGGGCCCGAGGGAGGTTAAAATCCGCTTTTTTTCGTTTTAGATATTTTATAAAGTACTTCAGCTTTTATGTAGACAATAGTTTAATTGGTAAGAAGCGTATGCATTTAATACTATTAATATTCACTTTAAAACATAAATTAAACATTAATTTGAATTATGATTACAAAGTAAAATATACTCGTAATTAAATTATTAATGATGAATAAATATTATTTTATAATAAGTACTTCATCATTTTTTAAGAAATATCCTTTACCTCACGCGCTATTTACTATTGGAATTAGACATTTTAAAAAAATTAAGCGATATTTAGTAATTTTATAATTTGCTCTCAAATGAGGTGTAACTTTACAAATAACATTAGTATGCATATTAAATGCGGTAAATTTTATTTTAACAATAATTTCTAATTTTATAAACAAAAATTATTTATTTGATTAATTAAATCTTTAAGATTATTGTACAAGAGTTATCAAATAACGTTAGATAGAAGTTCTTAAAATAAATTCTTACTTGAAGATAACACTTATTATGATTATTGTTATTCCGTTTTTTATTATTTCATATTATTTCATAATTATATATCTGGTTACGTTAATTTTCGAAATTTCGAAATTTCTATAGGTTATTATACATTAATCATGTAGAAAACATAATTTAAATGCGTATATACGTAGTTAATAAAGCTAATAATTTAATGGACCGTTTATAGATTATTTATTTTACAATAATACAAAGGATCGTTGACAATTTTATGAAGTTAAGATTTTATCAAGGTAAAATGTAATATATAATTTGCTATTGATATTGATCGCCAATAATCAATCTATTTATACATTAAAACAGTATTAATTTTTTGAAGTATTTAGAAAATTCCAAGCAAATTTTTAATATAATTTAGTATATACGTTGTTTTCTCGTTTTTATATAATAATAATAACAATAATAATAATAATAATAATAATAATAATAATAATAATAATAATAATAATAACAACAACAACAGCAACAACAACAACAACAACAACAATAATAACAATAACAATAATTATTATTTTCAGCAAAACAAAATGATAAAAACATGTAAAATTTTTTACTTTATATTGAATGTACACCGCAAATTTCATTATTATTATTTTTTGTTATTATGTATCTTTTATGAAATTGATTGACTCCAATTTTTGCAGCATTAGTAATAGTACGAATATATTTTTAATTCCATTTCAAAAGTATGCATGCATGGAAAACCATATATACAATTAAATTTTTTTAACAATTTATTCTTAATTTGCCATTTCAATGCATCACCAACAATTACATTTAATATAATATTCGTTTATTTATGCCATGAATGTTGATTTAGTTAAGGCCTTATGTTTTTCATTCAAAAATAAATCCTCAGAGATCCGTCGTCTCATCTGTAGATTGACAGAATAGTACAATAGCCGATTTATTAACGATAATTTAACGAAGATTATTGTCCTGTAAAAAGTCAATTATGTCAAATATGTGGCTAATTTGAAAATTGGCGTAGATTCCAGTGATTCGAGCCATCTTGTACGTGGTGGTGCAATGCGCTGGTGCAATTGCTGGGTCAGCAGTGTTGCGTGCCCTATCATCCGAGCGGATGGAGTCAAGCCTAGGTGCGGTAGCGTTGAAGAATGACGTGACCCCGGTTCAAGGCCTCGGTGTCGAATTTTTTCTCGCATTAATTCTCGTCCTGGTAGTTTGTGGAGCCTGCGATCCTGGCAAACCGGAGAGCAAACCCCTCGCTCCCCTCATCATTGGACTCGCTGTAACTGTTGGACATATCGTTGGAGTGAGTCCTCTGTTATTTTTTTCCCTTCATTTATAAAATACACCATTCCATCTATACAACTCTTTTTTCTTCTTCTAAAGTTACTTTTACATGATTTTTAATCTAAATTTATTTGCATTAGTTGTTTCCAAAGCAATTGGGAATCGTTATTTCTAGCTTGCCGAATATCTAATAAATTCTAATTAGTTTACGCTTTTGCATTACCCTAGCCTTATCACAATAAATAATAACTGTATGACCAACAAAATTAAATAAATAATTATTTCATGTTATAATATATTTATTGCGATATTTTTGCGGATAAATGCGACTACCTAAGTACTAGGTACGCTAAGCTACCAAAGTAGGCTAGAAACCAGTTTTCTTACTTCACCTATAAATTCCCTACATAAGAACAGCTTTTATTAGTCCATCCACAAAGAGCTAAAGCATTATCTTAAATATGCAAAATTTTCCAAATCATCATTTAATGCTGAATGCGGACAAAACAAGCCTTTAGTTTATATTTATATCAAAATGTATTTGACAAAAAAAAAAAAAAAAAAAAAAAAAGGCATGCACTACACGAAAAAAAACTTTTGAAAATTTTTTGGTCTATGATAAGAAGGACAGAATAATGAAATGAAATAGGGATTCTTCATTAAATCCAGATAATTGAAGAGATCGTGGGTCGAAAAAAGTAACATTTTAAATTCTGCCTGTAATTTTGCAATATTAATTGCCAATAAATTGTCTGGTGAACATTAGATCCCACGCACAAGTACGGGCATGAATCCAGCGAGGGCCCTTGGTAGCGCCGTTGTTCAGGGAGAGTTTTTGGATCATTGGTTGTATTGGGCTGGTCCGATACTAGGCGGCGTTGCCGGTGCCCTCATATACACCCACGCACTTGGCCCGGCCAAGGAAGTCGAACTGCCCAGGTCTTATACGACTGTCGCTACCGATGAAAAGGAGGTAGGTTTCTCGTAAATGCATTTATTTTATTACTTTAATCAGGCCTGTGTGCACAGTAAAATGTAAGAAAATCAAGCAAAACGCATTTCTCTTTTTTGTTAAGTTAACAAACCAGTAATTCTTTAAATACATGTATCTTATTAGGCAATGTTACACTGTTATAAGCTGAAAGAGATACGCGTCCAAGCTGCTTGATAACTAATCTTATAAACGCTTAATTCTTAGCTTTGAATTATTAAATATAATTTAAAATCGAAAAATATAAGAGAAAAACAAACAGATATTGACAATTTAAAAAAAAAATATTAGATTTCAAGCCGTTCTTCTACAAATAAAAGCATAACTTAACTTGGCAAACTAAAAAGATGATATATGTATTTTTACAGTATTAGTTATATGTTCTGTTATGCGTCAATGTAGGTGCTTAACATTAATTTCTTTTATTACTTCATTGAAATGAATGACTTTTATTATTAAATTAATTAAAGTAGTTTATCTATACATACATTATAGACACTCGTGTTATGCATGCATGTATTTATGAGTGTATATATATATCTTTGTGTATGTTTATATATATTTATTTACATGTTGCTGAATAATAAATTTATACTATTAATATACAATTTCAGAGGCATTAAGAAGAGTCAGAAGCCTTATAAAGGAAATTAAAGAATAAGCAAAGCTTCCCGTATTGTGAAAAATAAGTTTTTAAAATTAAATAAGTGTCTATGATTTTAGGAGAATTGTGTAAATAATATTTTTTTTACACACTTTTTAAAAATATTTTATTATAATACATTAAAAAATATATATTAATATAATAACGTTCGTAATTTAGCTTTAAACAATAAAAATTGTAGTTATATCGGCTAGTCTTTTTTTTTTTAAGTTTGTTCATATTTCCATAATTATATTATTTATTAATAAAACATATTCCATATCAGATAAATAACAAATTTAAGGAACATATATAAACATAAGAAATTTATTACGTGTTTACTTATTCCAAAATGAAACATTCGAAAAAAAATTTACTAGTAGAGTTTTACGAAAAAAATAATGTCCAATATAATAAAAAAATATATATATAAAAAAGTTAAAAAAAAAAAAGACAGACGAAAGGCAAAAGCTGTAAGATGGAATTGAAGCAGTGTAATTGTGTTTGCCCCACAGCGGTTCGAGTACATAGACAGTGGACGGGGTGGCCTGTAAAATATGGGTCTACGAGCGAGATGGGCGAAAGAACAAAAATAAACGAGAAAAAGAGATATACTATAAGAAAGTGTGCTTGTATGCCTGTGCATTAGGGAGAGAGAGAGAGAGAGAGAGAGAGAGAGAGAGAGAGAGAGAGGGAGCGAGACTGAGCTATGAGAAGTGCACAATATAGACTACAACACTGATCGAGTATGATGTCCGTTATTTTGCAGCTCCATCGACTCAGCAGCGGAAAGAGATCACAGCCCGCTTGATCACCTTAACCCCGAAGCCCAACGATCTTTGTTTCTCTTGCCTCATTCCTTTTCTTCCTCTTGCTTTCTCGACAATCGTCGACTTTGCGTGACTGACTCACACACCTGCCCAAATATTACTAGAATTCTGCAATACGTTGAATTCTCATTATGGTGTTTATAAAATGAAAACACTCGCTTATCGATAACTTGCTCTCACCGTTATAAGGTACTTTCGATTCAATTAACTGCATTTGTATTTCGTACATTTAATTCACAACGTACATAAGTACATTTACATGAATCTAATAAAGAAGTCGATATTTAAAAAATTTAAAACTAATTATGTTTTTGAATATTACCATTTCATATTACTTAACTATAATATAAAGTATTTTTACTATAAATAATAATTAAAATATTATATCTACAACGTTCATTCTATATCTGTAAAGTTTTCTTTACTACAACGATATAACTTTTCAAATGAATGCTTTAAGTGAATGCTTTTTAAATTGTAAACACGCAAAATCGATCAATATCAATGGTATTTAAAACAAACAATCTTATCAATTAAGTCTACTTCTTATTCTGTGAAATATCTGTTCATGTAATAGTCGATGCAACAATTACGTGCTATCATAATCGACACAATAATAACGACATTACGACAAATTATAATAAATTTGCATTTTATAATGTAACGTTGCACGTATGTATATAACATTATTACCCAAGTATTATGGTCATATTATATGAAAAGAATAATTTTTCTTTGAGAAAAATGTTAAAATATAATTGTTTACTTATTTGAAATTTGAAAGGTATAAAATATCCAATTTTTAAATCAAATCATCCGATCTGTTTAGCTTCATTATAAATTCATTATGCGAAATACTACAAGGAATTTTGTACGAAATAATTACTTCTGTGTAAGCTCAATGAATTGTAACAATCAATATAACATTACGTTAAAAATATTATGTATAAGTAAATTTTGAAATTGTATAAATGAAATAAATTAATGAATCTCACAGCACTTGGTACATATTCCAATGAATCAAAGAAAAAAACATAAGCCTAATAATGTTTTTTAAATAATACAAAATTGTCTTTTACAAACATTTATACAATTTTTGCGCAATTTCTAAGGATTAAAGTAATATAATTCATGCACCATAATGCAATGAGAATGTAGTATACCATACATTTGAATGTACATTGGGAGGACAATTTTTAAATTTGTATATGGAAATTGTTCTTCCAATTTGTTTAAGTCTTTCGATTTTGAGCTTCACTCCTGCATATATGAATGTATCAACTAGGAAGTTTTATTTTTAATTCTAAGCACATGTTTTATTATTTATTCTTCTTATGTGAAATGGCATTTTTTTTTTTTTTTTTTTTTTTTTATTGATTTCATTTATAATAGTTATATTGTTAATTTAATTATTTAGTTCAAATAAGGAATTAAATTTATAATTTATTCTACTAGCTTGAACTTCTAACAAAACCAATATTATATGAATTTTACGTTTGATAAGCATTTTATTACATTAGAAATAAATCATAAAAATCAATTATGTTCAATATTACATTATAGCATTATAAGTGTTAAATACTGTAAAATTTTATTTATTAAACTTATATGTTAAGCTCACTCGTAAATAAGTTTTTACTAATATACTCATTTTTTTTTTTTTTATACCTATTAATCATATTTGTTTTATTCTAACATGCGTTCCAAGTTTTAATGTACTATAGTAAATGTTATATATTTTAAATAAATTACATTGTACCTTTCATTCTAACATAAAAAGCTATTTAAGTAATTTATAAGTAATTAATTAAAACATTAATAACTCCAATTTAATTAAGTAAATCTTACATTTGTCTGTCGTTATTAAAAAAATGTGATAAATTTTTGCAATTTAGAACGATACTATATTAAAATATATAGAAGAATTTTAAGATATGAGAGGAATAAAATTAAAAAACCTTTTTCCATACGTACACACCACACTTTGTATTTAATACAGAGTTTATAAACGTAATTATGATTTGATTTACAGAAATTTTTTTTTGAAATTTCGTACATCATTTTACATGAAAATAAATTATTGAAAGGAAACTTTTGTATGACCATAACATATTGAAATACACCATAATGTTTTTTATTTCATAACAAAATTGTATTATTATTGTGTATGTTTAAAAAAAGATATATAAAAGAAAATATTTGTTTTTGTGTTTTTGTTTTTGTTTTTTTTTTTTTTTTTTTTTTTTAAATAAACTTTAAAGCCTATATTAAATTGTTGGTTATCGTATTAGAATAAACTTCCTTAAGTGTTTCAACCATCAAGATACTATTTATAGAACCTCTCTTTCTTACTGGTCATCAAAATATTAAATAAATTCCATCGACAACATTTACATACTCTTTGTAAGTATAAATCTTAAAAAATACATTATTAAACTTTCAAAACTATGATTTAGGCCATCACCTTTAGTAGCATTTCCTCACGATTTTTTTTATTATAATTAATAAAAAACTATTTTTGTTTAACCGATTTAAAGTTTTTACATGTTTTACATATAGCTAGCTATCGCATGACCTACAATCAATTAAACATTTTAAGAAACTTTTGTTACACAAACGCAAGTGAATGAATGATCTATTTTGTAATAAAATCATACAATATGGTAAATTCAATATATATTAAAGCAACCTTCGTAACTTAAAAAACATTAATTATATTATAAAATTTTGTTTAAAATGTTTCGTTATAGATAATGAGATAGCCGTGTGCATTTAATTAAAACTGATTTTAGTTTTTTTTTTTCCGACGATTTCTTTGGCTGACATTATCAATCATACCAATGACTCGTCATTTACTTAAAGCCTTATTTTCATGCTGAGGTATTGTGTATAAAATTAATTAAAAATATTTTTTTTATAGTCTAATATTATTATAATAAATTATAAATATTAAGAACCAATTTTTATGAAAAAAATTTAAATATTTAAATAAAATTATTTAAATTTCTAATTTTATATAGTAAAATCAATTACATGGTGATAAGCATGATAAATATAAATCAATTATATTATTACAGAATATATTTTTCAAAATGTATTACAATTAAGATCGTAAAAATAATACAATTTTAACGACCGTATAATACAATAACTGTAAAAAATCTTAATATTCGTTCTCAAATATAAAATTTTTTACATTATCCCCTTGAGCATAAATAATTTTTTTTCTTCTTATTTGTATGTATATACGTTTGGCTTTCTATATATTCTTTTGAAAATTAAGTTTATAAGTTCTTACAGGTATAATAGACGAGTAACGTTTATATAAAATTCATTCTGAAAGGAATGGTCAGCTATGTACAAGGTTTTATTAATTAACTATTTCATACACGGATTCAGCGTCATCTCCATTAAGTGTGGCATTGAGGGTGCATTAGTCAATAAACGTTATTTAATAATCGACTTAATATAAAATTTAAGATTCTTTGCTCTTAATATAAACAAAATTGTTATATAACTTTGGCTACATACATCATTTTTGTCTATTTTAATTTGCTTCTATATAAGCCTTTAGGCAGTAGATTTAAAGAATTGATAGAAAAATACAATAATGCCACACAAAGTACGAGATGATTGATACAGTCATAAATTCTTGTCGAAAAAGATAGAATTATTAATCTAAGGGGATGCAAAAGTATTATTTCATTAATGAATCCTTTTTATCGTCCATAAATCCATTTGCTGCTTAACGATACTCATGCACGCAATACCGCTGACCCCATGATGTACGTGTATCGACATAATACAATAAAATAAAAAACAATTCTTAAAAATCATAAAACAGCTCGCATAAATAAGCCAATGGAAGAGAAGATTCCTCTTGCGAGCCGTTAATTCGCATAGCGAAATTTCACCGAAAGTTATAATAATGAGCAAAGGATTCATTCTCCAATTATTTTACAAAATCTTTTTCGTTACTTATTTCTGGGGCTAACCTTCCATTTGTGAAAGCTTGTCTTCTAAGCTATCTCTGCTATCCGTCGTTTCATTCAGATTGACTGTTTCATTTGTGGCCGAAAGTTCAATAACGGATTCGTCAAGGTTTGTTTGCTCATGACTTTTGACCACTTCTACATCCATTGCTGTCTCCGACGTCTCAAACATGTCGCTCGACTCACCGAGTACCTGCGTACTTAAAGACGACAAACCCGATTCTGTCCTCTCGATCCCTGTATCTTCAACTACTTCTATTTGATTTACTTCTTCCGGTGCTTCCTCAAATTGGAGTTTCACGCCATTCTCGTCCGACTGTGTAATGACGATTTTTAGTGTCGGATCCTGCTGGCTGCTCACCTCTTCTTCAACCTTGGAATTTATTGACAAAACGAGATTATTAAACCCGAGCTTTGATTAACTAGGACAACTACTATTATATATATATATATATATATATATACATATATCCAAAGTGAATAATCTTTATAAATCATGCAACTTTATACGGTTTGTTACAATCGTATTATATATTTAAAAAGTAAAAAAGAAAAAAAGAAAAAAAGATGAAAAGAAAATAAAGTGAGATACTATAAAATTCATTTCATTCTACAAATTACTAACTCTTGTAAAAGAATTCGACATATAAAATCCTACTTTTTCATAAGTCATACTAATTGAAAATACACAATTTGGATTAACAAAATTTTTGTAAAATTAAATTTATAAATTATAGAAATAATTATATAATTTTAAACATTTTTCTTTAAAATACAAGATTTAAGATTATTATTATTATAAAATAGAAAACATTTAAAAAAAAAAAAATCTTTATTGCTTTCAAAACGATTACTTAACTAAATAAAGCATTGAATATTTTATTGAATATGTTTGACTTTATTTAATATTAATGGATTAAGAGTATTTTTGTTTGGCCACTTTCGTTTAATAATTGAATTTAACTACCAATGGTAATCAAATTAAAATATGTCTTATTAATATAAAATGAGCAGAAATCATTTAAATCCCAATTAAATATCATTCCAATTTAAAACAAGCATATTGTTACAGTATGTTTAGAAATTTTATTGTTTAATATGCATATTATCATCATTTTCCATAAATCAATATATTGAAAACGAGGCACAAAATCATATTAAGCATAAAGCATAACAAGTTTCAATATTAAAGCATTGAAAAAGAAAAAATGTTCACTACAAGAAATATAATTAATCAAAGAGAAATTTTTTAAGGCTTAAAATTTTAAGCAAATAGTATAATTAACACAAATAATTACTCACAGAATATTAAGAAGCTGATCTACTTTGATGAGAGCTAATTAAAAATAAAAAAGCACGATAAAATTAGTACATCACAAAGTGCTGATTATGAAATTTAGCAGTGATGCAAAAAGCAGTAAGTTAAATGTATATAAATAGTATACTACAAAATAAGAGATTAAGAAAAAAATTAAACATTTAGGGTTTTTTATGAATAGGATCCATATCTAAATTTAATGTAGATAAAAAAAGAAAGAAATACTCTCAGAATGCATTTATGTTATGTAAGAAGTAAATTGACATTTAAATGTACATAGTCTATTTTTTTATTTACTACGAGACTATTTACTTTTATAAAAGAGCACATAATAAAATTACAATACAAATAATTAACATAAAAGTTAAATAGATAGAAAAATTATTTTTAAGAAAACTATGCGAAAGATTTCATTTATGTTATTGTTATTAAATAAATACATTTGAAAGTTTTTCTTCATTTACTATAGATATTTATCAGTAATACATTATGCATCCGCAGGCCCATTAAAAATGCTTAGAGTATTTCGTTGCAATGGTTCACCTGCTCCTGAGTTTGTTCCACTTCACCATCGATTTCCTCTTGTTCAATTGGCTCTTCAATCATCGTCGTACTCGGTGTCTCCAACCTTTCCTCTTCCTGTTCTGCAGCTTCTGTAGCGACTTCTGCATACGTTTTATGAGAAGATACTTCGTCAATAGATGTCACCTGCGTCAAATTATTAAGGACATTCTCTTGCATCTTCACAACCGATTCTGTTGAATCGAGAATGTTGCAAAGTTCTCTGCTCATTTCATCGACATCTGAAGGATTTTCTTCGGGCTTTATGATAATGATTTTGGCTTCATCGAGCGATCTCGTAGAGCTAACAGCCTTATCCAACTTTTCCTCAAATGTCGTGGAAGAGTGGGATAATTCCTCTTTAGAATTTATAGCATTAATTACACTAGAAGATTCCTCTGTGTATTCCTTTTCTTTAGAGCAGCTATCGTCATTGTATTCTTTTTCCTCGTCGTATATACTTTGCTTTCGCTTAACAAAAACACGCTTTAGGGGCAATTGTTGCTCATCCTCCGACTCTCTGGAACCATTTCGTCACATGCTTCGTATCCCTGCTGCTTCCGAGCCTGGAGCTCCTCTATCTTTAAGCGCTGTTGCTCAATTCGTTTTTCCAGTTGTTCGAGTTTCTCTTTCATAATTACCTAAAATATGGACATTATTTTTTTATTAAATTTCATTGGTATTTCTCCAAAAATTCTGAATATATATTAAATATTTATTATTAATTAATTGCATTAATTTTTCACTTAAATTTTTCTATTAAATATTATATAAATTAGATTATATATTTGAAATCTTTTCTTTCTTTAATACAATGTCTTTTCCTTGAATTTATTATAAAGAATATATTCTCCAAATATTACCATTATAATATTTTTTGTTATTTGCAACTATCAATAGAATGAAATCGGTATAAATAGCAATTTATGATTTATAATAATAAGCATAGCTTTCGATTTAAAATCGATATAAAAATGTTAAAATAGTAGTATAATTTTTAAAGTTGATCTTTATATTTAAACTTTGAAAAATGAAAGATATGATTTAAATTAGTTGAAAGTGATGGTAAATTTATGGCCGATGATTATATAATTATTCTTGTCATAAGCATATAAGTATATTATCATTAATAGTCTGACATCGTTTATATATACTGCCTATGATAATTAAATCCTTAGTTACTTTTTTCTGTTGTTGTTCAACCACACTTTGAACCTGAGTAATCATTTTTGGCACTGTTACTGTGGTACTTCCTTTGGCAAGATCTTCGCCAGTTTCAGCCATCCTAATAATACGCTTAGCGTCTGCGGACTGCAGCATTGATTCTATATTCTGTCCCTTGTCCAATGGCTTTTTGACGACGACACGCTTCACCACATTTCCGGTAGGTAATTTTGCAAGTTCTGCCGGATCAATGATAGTACCGTCAGGATTCATGATGACCTCGCGTGTTGTATCGCCTTGACGTATAATTCGACGAACTATCACTCTCTTGATAATCTTCATAGAAGTGCATTGTTGAAAATATTTTATTATTAAGTTTTGATATATTGTATGGAATTATTTAAATAACAGAATATGTACGAATGAAAGTATATGTATATATATATATATATATATATATATATGTAAGTAAATGATACTAGCTTATTTTTACTTTGGTCTCATTATTGTTTATAATTATACGTTTAATGTTTATAAGAAATGTCAATGTGTACCTTTGGACCTGGTGTCGCAGAAGTCGATGGAGATGACTGGGCAGCAGAGGCATTTACGGCTTCCTGAACCAGCTCTTTGACAGGAGTTGTCACAGCAATCGGCGAGTCTCCACTGCCCATTGGCTTTCGAACGACTATTCTTTTAATTACCTTAACAGTGTTAACATTTTTTGGGGCGAGAGTGGTAAGTGGTGTGTCAAGTTTTTCTTCTTTGATTATAGTTGGTGCTACTGTTGATTGAGAACCCTGTCGCACTACAACCTGCTGTGTTTCCTTACTTTGTTCAGGACCTTCAAATTAAATTAAAACTATGCAATTATGATGTAAAACTTATAAATTTCATTTAAATTAAAGAATTATAAAGAACATAAAGAAAGTAATTTTGGTAGTAAATTTTAATGATGGGCTATTTAAAGACTATTAAATATTGAATAAAATAAACCTTGATGTTTCAGTGGTATTTTATGCTCTTTAAAAACAGAGGCAACGATTTTTTGAACTTGAGCTTCTGTTTCATCCAGCCTGCCTTTTTGAATAGGTTGTGGCGTTTGCGTTTCTTCTTGCTTTGTTTGTTTTGGAGTTATAATTTGTGGACTGCCAGCAGTCTTTGGCTTTACTTCCTGTAGTTGCTCCACACCTCTACGCTGAATTGGCATTAAAGTCTTGATCGTCTTCTTCATAACATTTCCGTCTTTCCCCCTCACATAGACCACCTGCTCCTTTTTGTCCTCCTTCTCTAATTGATCTTCCTCGCTCTCGACCTTATTTTTGGCTGCTTTCTGCAGCTTTTTCGAATAGACGTACGAACTTGGCGGCTCATAATCATCGTCCCCATCCGAGTACTGTTCCTCCTCCTCCTCCTCTTCATCACTTTCAGTGTCACCGATTTTTACTTTGTTATCAGGTGGTAAGCCATCGGGACCCATTTTCTCACCTGCTTCTATGTGCTGCTTAATGTGGGTTACATACTCAGCCCGATTACGGCACGACTCTTGACATACATCGCAGGTTAGGGCCATTCCAGTACGCTTCACGTGAGTCAATTGGTGGACTTCTAGACTCTCCTTGCGCTTAAAGGCTTTACCGCAGTCTTCGCATTGATGACGCTTTTCGACCGAGTGACTACGCATATGGCGAGTTAGATGGTGAGAGAGTAGGAATGTCCGAGGGCAGAGTTTGCAAAGGTATGGTCGATGACCAGCATGGGTTGTCAGATGTCTTGCGAGCTTCGTACTCGTACGAAAAGCTTCTTTGCAGTATTCACAGACAAACGATTTGTCTTCGCTGTGCAACATCTCGTGTCGTTCCAAACCTTGATTGGATTGAGAGTGTAAGAAACAGTTGAGGTCAATAAATATGAATAAATATCTTAAGCTAATAGATGTTTACATTAAAGGCTTCTAAAATTTATTATCGTATGCCATCAATCTCTATGATCGCTAAGAAATTAATTAATTAAAGTATAATGAATTGCATTAACGAATTACACATGTCGGTGCATAATATAGACGTGAAATTAGCGTTTAAATTAATAATTTAAAAATCTAGTTTGTAATTTAAGGACGATATTTAAATAGAGAATTCATATGAAAAATTAAATTAATTGTTTCTAATATGATGCTTTAATGATAAATATTGAAAGTGTATTATATATATATATATATATATTTTTTTTTTGTTTATTATTATTTAAAATCTTGAAAAATATGTTTGAATTCGATGCTGCATACCTTGTTTATAAGTGAAGCGCTTATTACAAATATTACACTGGAAAGGTTTGACAGCTTTGTGTACAGCTTCTTCATGCTTCTCTAATTCTTCTGTAGTGAAGAATTCTCTGTCACAGTGCGGACAGCCATATCTTAGCTCTTCTCTATGAATCTTCTCGTGTCTTTGCAGTAAATTAGCTCTGGAGAATTGTTTCTGACAAATTTGACATGAGAAGGGTTTCTCTTCGGAGTGTGTAGCCATGTGTTTCGTCAGATCGTATTTAGAGAAGAACATACGGTCACATTCAGTACACTTATAATCGCGATCCCGATGTGCACGTTGTACATGCAATTGAAGAGACTGCAGGAGGGGAAAGGTTCGGTCGCATTGATTGCAAGCGTGTACTCTAATCTCACCAGGCTCCAACTTTGTGTCATCTTTAACATCGTTGGATTCATTATCACCTTCACTGCCAGCATCTTGTTCTTCATCATAGAGATCACGGCGTTCTTCCTTTTCTCGCTGCTGCTTTTCAGCACGAGTTTCTGTCTGTCGTTGACCTGTAAATTTAGATAGAATTCATTGAAAGAATGCCAGCCAGTCGATATAATTATATTTGTAAAGAATATTTTGGTCTTTTTGCAATTATTACGACTACCAATAAAATTAGTAAACAAACAGATAAATATGATTATTCTATATTATTGCATATTTAATTAGGCTGTACCGAACAGGTTGTATAAAATATTTCTTTATTATAAATTCTATTCTCACTAGAGTGAGCTGTTTCTCGTCGCTCTCTGTCCCCATTATCCAATCGAACTTTCTTTACTTGTTCATTTGTAGGTCTAGATTCTAGATTTCGTTTGTTACTTATTTCAGGGGGATCATTTGTTATCGGAGAGAATGGTCTTCGTAGAACTCCTGATATTGGATAGGCACGTAGGGCTTCATCTGCTTTTTTACATTGTTGTTTAAATTTATAACATCGATCTAGATTCCAGCGACACATTGTGCAAATCATTTGTGGCATTCCATCGGCAGAATAAACCTTAAATAAAATATCCACTAATTATTTCTATCTCATTTCATGTAACATACGAAAAACTTATTTTCATAATTAAAGAGATTGATAATAGTTGTAGAAAAATAAATAAAATATAAGTACACAAGAGATATGGAATAAATTATAACACGATTAAAACATAAAATTTCAATTATCATTAAAAATTAAAAATAAAAATGGATTAAGTCTCATACTAATAACTAGTTAAAAATATTTATTATATTAATAATATTTTCAATAAATAGTAATAATTATAAAAAGTGAATTTATTTATGATAATATTTAAAGTAAAGTGATTTATGATAATATTGCAATGCTAATAATATTCTTTTATATGATTTATAAATAAATTCATAAATTTAATATAAAAAATCTCCCTACGCATATGATAAAGAAGAATATGGTATTACACACACGGTAAAGACGATAACTTCATTATCATAAGCACTACTTTTAAGCAACTACTAGTATTATCTATTTGTACGTATAAATTTCAAAAAATTTATTGATAACTGTATCGTTTTGTTGATGTTTTCTTTTTAATTACCCATTTGATTTATAATATTCAATAAAAATGATAATTTTCATTATAAATAAACAAATTTTAATTCCAATACTCCAAAACAAATGATAATAATTAGTAGAAAGTAACAATACAAACAAAAGATAAATACTTTGAACATATTTATATATATATATATATATATATATATATATATATATATATATATATATATATATATATGTAGTATAATGTAAATAAATAATTTATATACTACATTTATTTCTTACCTTAAACATCTGTAAATTATAAATAGTACGTTGTATATTTGCAATGATTTACCTTTATGTAAACAATTTAATACATTGAAACAGTAGCAATATTGAATTTATTAATTACCCTTGTAAAAGTATGTAATTGTATTAAAAAAATAAATAAATAAATAAAAACAATTTTAATGTTAAGTGCATTTATTTCATTGAGTTGTATGTGTTCATCGAAGCCCAATGTATATATAGAATTTTATTCTACATCAGCAATTGTATAATTATAGCTAATAGAAATTTCATTTACTTTTAACAATGAGAAATTTGGATTAGAAGAAATTAGATGATTAGCATACTGCTTTATCTATCCAATCAATGCTCTGCGAGTCTATAGTTATACATATGAAAACGTAAGATAAAGAACGGTTTGGAGTTAAGGTAAAATGTAAAAATATATGTTGTAAATGTATAAAAAATATAACTGTATATAGCAAGGAGGTGAAAAAGGAAAGCGGGAATTTGTGGTATATAAGATGAGATGAGGTGCAAAGTTTAGGCTAGGTATGAGGATAATTAATTACCTCGATGGCGACACAGGACATGATCTGCAGGGTAAGCGGCACCTGGAAGGGTTTGCTCAGCTCGCGGTCATAAATAAAACTCAGCGGCTCGTTCTCTGTCAGGCAGAATCTACAGACCCGCCTCGAGCGCAGCGGCGACGGTCTGTTCTCCATTTTAATATTTAATATTCTCGGAGCTAGGAGTGGAAGTCACCGCGCACCGGGAATTCTTTACGCACTTTGCCTCGACAGCAGCCTTTCTCCTGGAGTAAGCTTCCCTTCGCCGACAGTCGCGGTGTCGGCAATTATAATATCGGAAGCGCAGTTACTGAACGAGCGCGAGAAAAGGAGTCGGTGGAAGCAGGACGCGGCAACGGAGTTATCCGTTCGACGGCCGCCGCCGCTGCCGCCGTCGCCGCTCCGGTAAAGCGATAATAAACAAAGTCCAATTGTTAAATGGCGCCGCCTGCTGCTACTCCACTCTCGTGCTCTAGGATCCTTGGTTTAGAGGCGTTGCACACGACGGGAGTGACTTTCCTAGCGAGTTTTCCGTACACTGTGCTACTCCTATCTCTTCTATTGCTCCCGCTGTTATTGTCGTCGTCGTGGTCGTTGCCTTCGTCTTTGTCGTCGTCGTCGTCGTCGTCCTCCTCGTCGTCGTCGTCGTCGTCCTCGTCGTCGTCGTCGTCGTCGTCGTCGTCGTCGTCGTCGTCGTCGTCGTCGTCGTCGTCGTCGTCGTCGTTGTCGTCCTCGTCGTTGTCACCGTCGTCGTCAATATCACCGCTGCCACCGCCGCCGCTGCTGCTGCTGCTGCTGCTGCTGCTGCTGCTGCCGCTGCCGCTGCCGCTGCCGCTACCGCTGCTGCTGCTGCTTATTTTCCTCTGCTGGTGGCGCGCCGCTCCTCTCTCAGCTCCTCGACTCAACAAGCAACCAACGACGACACGCCGCACGGTTACAAGTTATATCGCTCTAGCGGCTGTGGAGCGCTTGCCGGAATGATATTCTCGCTTTGGCTGCTTTCGATTGACCACTCGAGGAGAGGTTTTGCTCCTTTGCTCGCTCTCTCTCGGCCGACATTCGATGATGACGCGACTGCAGCGATATACTAGATTTCGGCTCTGCAGCGCCGCGTCGACGCTCCCGACTCCTGACCCACGCCTATCGTTCGCCGCGAACTTGCTGCTCCCAGGGTAAAAGAGCGGAGGCGACGGCGGCGAATGTTCGAGATGGCGCTTTGAGCATTCTCGAGGAGACAGAGGGAGGCAGCGGCTGCTTTCAGCTTAGGGACGCCTCACGAAGATGGCGACTCGTTCGGATGAATTTATATGGAAGATTGTGACCGTATGGACGGCTACGCTACGACTCCTTATAACTCTATTCCTTCCTCCCTACTCGACGACTTTATTTTACAGTTGAGACAGACAATTTTGTTATTGATGTTGCTTTAACCCGATGGTCCGACTACTTTTTCTTGCCCTCATTTGTCTTGTCCGTACTTTTCGTCTAATCGCACGGTACTCCATCTCCACTCATTCGCTATTCTGACGCAAATTTAAGAATAATAATTTCTCTGGAAATGATTGTCTTATGGTTTTGAGGTAATGGCGCGTACGCTTAAACGGCGGTTTCGTCCGGAGCGTTGGAAAGAACAATTGGAAATTTCTTACGGCTCGTGCGTCTCTGCCGTGCCTATGGCAAGGCGCATTGTTGTGTGCGTGCGTGCGTGCGTACCTATGCTCCAGCTGTGCGATGCGCGCGTGCTTCTACACTCGCCTACATACATTTACTACCCGGTTCTTTAGGCCATATCTCGTCATACCTATACTAATTGTCGATATTGTATACTCTTCTCTCGTTTACACAACTACATAATGTGATATATTGTAATAATAATAATAATCATAATAATAATAATGACGACGAAGACGACGACGATGATTATGATGATGATGATGATGATGATGATGATGATAATAATGAAATTGCAATAATGTCATTAGATGATTCAGGAATTAGTAAATTGACAATGTGAATTCTCAGTAAATATAGGTGGGAGGTGGGAGGGAACGTGACGATCCAATATAAATATATGTCGAATGATAAGATGCGTATTAATAACCGGTATAAGCAAATATTGAAAAAATTTAAACTACATTGATTTGCTTAATATTGATTTAATTAATAAAATTCTTAAGGTACGTTGATTTAAAAATTATTAATTTTTCAATTTTGAAGACTTTTTTTTTAATGCAAATAATCTCGTCATATAATAAATAATATGCCTGATATTCAATGATAAACTCTTCACAAATATTAAATACAATATTTTCATATGTATGTTCATATATAACGTGCGTACAAATTCATTTAACCATTTACATGTTCAAGACTTTTTTTATTTTACATTTTGAATTTTATTATCGCTACTGAATATCATCATAATCAATACAAAGCTTATTATATTTTATTATAGTTATAATAATAATAATGATAATAATAATAATAATAATAATAATAATAATAATAATAATAATAATAATAATAATAACAACAACAATAATAATAATAATAATAACAATAACAATAATAATAATAATAATAATAGTAATGGATTTAATGATAAGCGGTAGTGGAAAGTAAAATAAAGTAACTATAAAACGTATTTGGCTTTAATAAACGAGTAGATATTAAAATTAAAAGAACCGTATGTTCATGCTCGATTTTCAATGGTTATGATATTGAATATAAAATAATGTGGATCTGCATTGTCTATACTATTGCGCTTGTGAGTGTTTTTCATTTTGCCAATTGATCTCAATGAATTCAATAAAGAAGTAATATTACTAATATGAACATTTTTATGAAGCTTACAATTAATTAATTCACGGCGTTTAATTGAAATCTATAATATAAAAATGTAAGCTGAATTGTTTCATTATCAAATAATTGATGAAATATTGGAATAAGTCGATTTTTAAAGATTTAACTTAACTCCTCTACAACAATATCTATTGAATTTGCAAATTTTCTATAATAATTCCAATATCAATTAAAATTATATTTATTTATAATTACATTCACATTTTTTTCATTCCTTTGATTATATGAAAAGAAATATATGATATTTTTAGTTTTGATAAAGTTGTTTGTGACTAATGCCATCAAAAATATATATTACGGATGAAAATAATGACAGAAACAGGTTTAATATATGCTACCAGTGAAAGTCGTTTTGGTAAATATTATTCTAAAAATTGTATCTAAGAATCATATGAAAATAAGGTCCCTATTCGATAACTATATTATTAATTTTTATTCTTAATACATATAATAATATATGCATTAAATAGTTGTATAGCTAATTTAATATATGCATTAGAGTAAAAAAAATTAAAAATAGATTAATTATATATAATGTAAAACAAAATTGTAGAGAGCACTTGACAATTTGACATTTTTTGCGTCTGTTGTTTTACTAATTTGTATTTGATTTAAAAATATTCTTATAAATTATACGATTAATTTTTTTAGATTTTTGCTACAAGCAATTCGTATCCTTTTTATATAGTTAATTATTAGTCCATCATCGGATTACGTTCTAATGATTAGAGAATGTTGAAATCAATCATAAAAAACTTTATGTATTAATGAAATTGATATTAGCGTTCATTCAATAAGTATAAAATTTATAACTTATAGTTTTTTTGTAGTGAAAAAATTCTGTACCATATATGCAATTACAAACATTAATAATATTTAATAACACGGAACTTATATTTCTATCATATACACAAATTTAAAAAATAATTTTAAATTATACTTGATTTCACTATTTATTTTTAAATTTTAAGTGACGCTTTACTTTAAACATATATGAAGTTTCTAAATACATTGTACAAATATATGTAATGCTACACACATTAAAAGATATATTTTCATGAAAATAATCTATACGAATACATAGACTTTCTCAAGCACATCGCGTCTAAATACTAAAATACTATATAATATATTAATATACCAATTCTTCTTTTTGTATCATTAATTATTAATTATCAAGTTATTGTATTACTAATATAATTATTATTGTATAATTTGTTAATTTATTTTCATGAATTTATTACAAATTAAGGTAATCTATTAGCTAAATTATAATATATTGTTACATTATAAATTAACTACGTATACTAGAAATTAATAAATGCAGAATTTTATTTTCAAAAATGATAGTTTAACACTTTATTATATTGAATTATTTTATGTTAGGTTGCAACAATAAATTTATCATTAATTTTATTGATGTTTATAAAATATTATTTTATTAAAAATATTGATAGATAAATATTCGGATAGATATAGATAAAATTTACGGATAAAGCTGCTGATTATATTTTACTAATATGTCATTTTTGTAAAAACATTAAATTTTAAAATACTTTTATCTAATGGAGCGTATTAATTTGTCTAATTTTTTTATTTAAACTTTTGCGTATTATAAGTGAAAATTTTTAAAAAAATGTATCTTTATATTCTGCGAATATTATTATATTTTTTAAATAATAAGATTTATCTGTATTTTGCAATCACATGTATTTAGTACTTAATTAAACAGTATATCGTGTTATACTAGAAAAATATACTTTATACAATTGTTTATTAATTTTTCTTTTCATTTTATTAGGTTTGTAAAAAATTTCCGAAATACTAATAAAATATCTTACACATACATTTTTTCATGACTTTTAGATTGTTTTAATCAATTTCTTCATAAATGATATATACTATATTAATACGTTGTTCCTATATTTTATTAACTAAAGATGTATAGTTTTCTTTTAAATATAAACACACTTTGCCAATGCAGCATTATTTTTAAAGTAGAAAATATTCAAAAATACTATCAGATTTTATCAATAAAGTAAGATTTTTACGATGACTATATACTGATAATTTAAGAAAACGAAATGAAAACATTTCGACGGGTTAAAGATTTATTTTATATTCTACAGATATCATGTATTTAAGCAAAAGTAGACTTGCTGAAATGCAGTCAAATTTGGGGATACAATTCACTAAATACGCCATATAGGATTTTATATTCATTAAGGCACATGAGGGATATGAATTGTTAGGGGAAAAAATAAAAGAATTTATTAATATTTTGATAAATAAAAGTATTATAGAATATAAAATAAATATATAAACTCATTTCAGAATAGTATACCTAATAATGAAATGGGTTTATTAATAGATAAAAGTATAATAAATTAAAAACATATTTTAATGTATTTTCATAGTTTTTTTCTATAATTAAGCTGATATAAATCAATATTAAATATATTATAATAAATTTATTTAACTATTAATAAAAATTTTAACGTCTATTCTATAGGTAATATAAGAGATGTCTTCTATTAATTTGTCAGTATCAATTATTTGAAAAATATTGCTTATTTTAATAGATCATTAAAATTATGTTTATTATTTGTGAAATAGAGATATTTGTTTTTCTTTCTTTTTAATTGTGATTATATGCACGCAAAATCGTTTATATAGACGTTTTATATCATCCCTTTTAATTTACATAAATATGCGTGTAAATTACATATCGGAAATTAATTTTAAAAATTAATAACAAAAACATTTATATAATTTTCATATAAATTATTTCATTAAATATAATAAAATATATATGAAATTTAAGTTGATTTTTTGTTTTCTATTTTTTTTTTTTGTTGATGCTCTAATTATTTTAGTAAAATGAATGTTTTTATATTTTTAAACATGGGTAAATATTTTAACTTTCTGCCAAAATTAATCGCAAATTATCGATATTTAATTTATATTTTTTATATAAATGAAATTTATAAAATGCTATATAAACTACATTGAATAATAAAAAATATATATTGTCATGTGTTTTGATTAGAAAGAAATATTATAAATTTAGTTTCATGTAGTTATGTCAAATAGTTTTGTTACTTAGGATTACATAGGATAATAAACTCTGATATAATAAATGATCTATTGCGTCATTATTATTTTGCTATTATAACAATGTTTAAATCTAGATTGCAGTATGCAATTAAACATAATATGAATTTGTTTTTATAAATTAGTATGCGAAGGCTTTAAAAGTATAAAAACAAATTAAAGTATTTCTAATTAAGCTATATGTTAAATAAGTATATAATTTTATATTGTCAAAAATTTATATGCAAAAGTTTAGTAATATAATTTGGTATTTCAAATAACTATTTTTATTTCTGTATGTAGTTGTTACACTTCTATATAGAATTGAAAAATTGTCCATGAATTTGTAGAGGAAAAAGTGTTATTTTTATTTGATATTTTGCATAATATCGTTTTGTTGTAATAATAATGACAAGAAAATGCATTTTTAATACAAAAAATATCTAATTTTATTCATTAACATACTATATTAAATCGTTATTTGTTACCTTAACGGATATATTTCAATAAATTTCATTATAATTAATTCTATCTTTTTATTGTAATAGCAAGATTGTCTTCATAATGAATAATTACAAGAAGTAAGAAATTGTAAATATTTCACAGTGGTGATTTATGTTAATATATATTGAGTTTTATATTTTCTTTTTAAAATTTTACTTTACAACATTAATTAGTCTGTAAGTTGTTATACACCTAAGATAATTTATAATTTTTTAATAGTAATAAAAGTAAAATAATAACATAAATTATCTTATATTCGAAAAAGAAAATAAGATAATCTGATCGTAATTTATTACAAAAAATGTCGATCTATAATCTAATGATGATATTGGATAAATCAAAATTTTATGTAATGTCTCAATTGTAGATTAATTTATTGATATGCAATTAGAAAGAATTCATTATAAAAAAATGTCCAATAATTATTTTAATTTGTAAGAAACTTTTACACAAGGTTTGATATGCTAATAAATTATACAAAAATTTTGTTTATAATTATTAATTCTACCCTGAACACTGTTTTAAAGCAGCCTAATAATAAAACAGCGTTTAATTAATAAATTGTAAACTTTTATATTTATAAATAACTAATGTCGTTATTATTAACGTTTTTATTTATTCTTCTAATTGTAGTAGTTACCAATTCATAATTTTTTATATACGTTTCTTTATATAATCAAATTATTTAATTACTATTGAATTTCTTCACAAAAGTTCAAGTTTTATCTACACACACACACACACACACACACACACACACACACACACACACATATATATATATATATATTCATAGGATTCGTTTAAACTTGACATTAATTTTAATTTAATTTCAAGCTATTTCTAAAGAAATTTTCACTGACGTTTTTCACTATAAGGATAATTTACGTTTTCATTTCTCTAACACATTTGTATTGATAATACCTGCATTCACCGATTTTGTTTAAAAATTATAGTCAACTTTTTAAATTATGTTACAAAAGAAATGTATTCGAATACTGTAAATAATTATCTTATTTTTTATTTATTGATCATCTAAAACTAGTGTACATACTTTTTTTATCAATCATAAGGAATATCAAAATAAGATAAAACTTTTGAATATATTTTATATCTCAAAATTCAGGAAAGTGTACGTTTAAAGGCAAAATTTTGGAATAAACAATATTTTATCGTAAGAGTATAATATATTTCAATAGGGAAATTTAGTAAATGAAATTTAATAGAACATCCATTACAATAAGAATCATTAACAAATACTTAGCAAAGCCATTTAATGAACTTATAATGTGTGCAGATGCAATAGTAAAAAGAGTATAAAGTGAGAACAATAATCCATAGCTTCTTTGTACGCAACCTTTCTTATAGTCATGAACGCACGATATCCATACTGTGGTTATAAACGTGCGCGTGTATGAGTTGCAACACCCGTGCTTGCGACTCACTCGGGGCCGTAAGTGGGGACGCATATAAGGCCCACGAGGTCCCGTTGAACACTCAGTTGTAGTCTCCTGTGATTGAAACATTCATTCGGCAGAACAACCGTATTCAACTGTGTAACTTGTAACTTCATTCTAAGGCATTGGTTACTTTTTTTTTTTTTTAATTTTAGCTACAGCTAGAATCGATCTTGTGCCAATCATTTATCCATTGCCGTCGAGTTGCCTCTTCGGCTACTAGATTCAACGGTACCATGAAGTTTGAGATTCTCCTCTGCTGCCTGCTTGTTCTTAGTGAGTATTGGCGTTCTTTCTGCTTTTTATCGTTCTTCAACTTTCTCGCGGATAACAGCAACGAGTACGAACACGGATCACTACTTTACCATCAAAACTTCGTAGCACGTCATCGAGAAAAGCATTTCTTTTTACATTTTTTCGTGCCCAATAATATTAGCTATTACCAGTCCATTCTTTCTTTCAATTAAAGTATCATAAATATTTTTTAATTATTTTGAACCAACATCAAACATTATTTATTAATTAACAAAATAAATATAGGTTTCATGGTAACATATTATTTATAGCATATTATGTTCCTATCATAATAAAAGATATATGTTTGTTTTTATACAAGCGTAAATAATTATTAATTTTCATTCACATAATCAGTTGATGTCGTCTTTGAATTCTTATTTGTAACAACTTATAGTATTAAGATCTGTATCCTAAATACTTTATTTATTGTATATTTACATATAAATATCGAACAATTAGGGCTAGTAAAAAGCAGCAATATATACATAAATTTTTTTGGAAATTTTTATTGATATATTTCTATTTTTATGATAAAATATTTATGATAAAATATTTACAATTACATTACATAATACAAATTTTTATTGTAAAATTTTATATGATAAACCTTATACAATTTTACTTGTTACTGATTTAGTAAATACCTTTACACATATATATTTAATAAAATTTATGTCGTCGCTTGGCATTAGAATGAAATATAAATGAGCCGTAATATATACAATAGCAGAATATTAAAATAATAACGGCATCTTAGATAATAAGTTTAAATAATTCAATGTATAATATAGATTTTTTTTAATAGAAGGAAATAAAGAGAGAGATGGAGAAGCTTTCACCTTGAACTTTACCTTTTACATGGGTTACTTGTCGCATTGCAAATTAGACGTACTAAAACGGGAAACCGAGCGTGTTAGGCTTTTCTCCACATTTCGTAAAGGACGGAGGTATCCTTATGTCTGTGAATTCTGTCATAATTGGGGAAAGCTTATTCGTATACTCGAATTGGATATAATTCGCAGAATGATAAGATTAAGCACCGTGAACTCTTTGAACAATTGGCGAAATAAAATTAGCGAAAGTCTTTTGTTAGCTTGGAATATTCTCCATTTCTCTTACGTCGTGAAAACTATGTATGAAATACCAATTTTCCATTTTAAAATGTGCAAAATTATAAGAAAAATTAAAAAAAAAACGATATTACTATAACATTATAAATATAATTAATCCATACTATTACAATAATTGAATTATAATATATTAATTGACAAATTTTCAATTAAAAATTTTCAATTTTTCAATGAAAAATTATTGCTAAGAAAACAACAAAATTATTAATTACACCGTTTATTTTTAATTAATTAGTTATAATATATGACTAAATTTTTCAGCATACAATCATACTTTTTCTTTATTTCATGATATACATTTGACTGGAAGCTATCAAAATGTAATAAATCACTTACATTTCATGAAACTTTCTTTTTTTTTTTTAATTTCTAAAAATAGAAAATTTCATTATTCTATTGAATAAAATTGCAAGTATAAAAAACTTGTCATAAGTATAAGAAACTCGACCTTTTTTATCCTGACCTTGAGTTCAAAATTCTGATGTCTATAAAAAGCATTGTTATTATTTTTTATAGTATTCCTTCCCATTATTAACATAATTACTTTTATCAAATATATAATAATCAATTTCTTTGAAGCACAACAAATTAATCACTAATAGGCATTATAAATATATCATTTACAAAGAAATGAAACCGAGTCTTGCAAAATTAAATATTTTTTTAAGTTTCTTATTTTAAAGTATACCCATAGTATATAAATTATTAGACAACTATTGAATTATTAATAAATATGTTTGTTTAATTATTTCTTCTTCCGTTTTTTTTTCTTCGTTATTTACACGTAAAAAGTCACGAAATAAATTATATTTGCTTGCTTTTCATTCACAAAAATTTTTCTATGGATTCTATTTAAATTAAATCTTTTAACTTTTCAGGAAAATATCGCAAATTGAATAATATAGATTTTATTAAAAATACGGTATTTTCACTTACCATATAGAAAATGCAAATGTTCTAAATAAAGAAGAAAAAAATAATATCATTTCAATCCTCTAGGAAATTAATATTGAAACATTGAACGCACGTGCCAAGCAGGAGTTTCGAGTTTGCAAGTGCGCAAAATATGCAACCGGTCCTCTCCACGAGTTTCCATATCTTCTGGGACTCTTTTTTTTTTATTTCTTATTACCTTTCTTTTTTCTTTCCATCGCGAGGTCAACTACACCAGAGCGTACATTCTTTCAGGGATGCGTGTAGCATGTCGAGGTCGTAAGTGTAAGTCGAAACACTCGGAACAACCTTAATTTCTTTAACTTTTGTTTTTTCATAAATATTGTTCTCTTTTATCAGTAAATATTCAGATAATGCGGAAAAAGTATGAAGCTATCGAACAATAGTTTATTTAAATTCATTAATTTAAAATCATAATTTTTTTTTACCCTTATCAAATCTTTATAGAACGTCTTTATGTAAAGTTTTGAATGTCAATCATATAATAATATTTATTTTAAAATAATAAAATTTAAAAAAGGCTCTTATACTGTATAATGATTGTTTATGAATTTAAATAGTGAAAGAAACGTTGATGTATTAATCAAAAGTAATTTAAAGTGTCTCCATGTAATATAAATGTAAATTTTACAGTATGAGATAATTAATTGCTATAGGAATATAATTTTTGCAGAAAATGTGATAAAAAAAATATTGTCAAATCACTATATATGTCAAACAATATATGTGTTAAATCTTTTTTGCGTACATAATATTGCGTACATAGATTAAATACATAGAAACAATATATGTGTTAAATCACATTATTGCAAAAAATTCTTTTATTAAATTTCATGAGATATAGTTATACCTCGTATAGTCTTTAAATTTAAAAATAGTGTTATATAAAATGAAAAAAACTATGGCGACATTCCCTCGCAGGGTATAATTTATTATTCCAATATAAATTAAACACAGAGATTACAAAAGCTAAAAGTTAAAATTTATAAATTGCAATGGAATATAATCACATTATCTAAAAGATATTCTTTTTCAGGAATATAATTAATAAACATACGACTGATCGAATGTAGATAATGAAAGTTTTGAATAAATGAAAATTAGTAATATATCACTGAATCCGCTTTATTTTTACAAATAATTAATTTTTGTACACTTGCTATACAGACATTATTCAATGTGCAACAACAATTTATTAAAACATCCAATTCAAAGTTTCAGCTTCATTTCTTATATAAATATGTTGTAAATAATTGCAATTCTTCTTCCTTTTCATTATCATTCATTCCTTATATTTACACACAAATATATATGTGAATCTACGATTAATGCAGGTACGACCTCAGCGCTATCACGTAAAGAAGAAGCTGCTGAACAGAATCGACGCAAAGCCTCGCAAGCGCTTTACAAATCGCAGCCGAATCGCCAAACCGTGAGGAATAAGGAAGCTGAAGAGTTCGATGAGGATGAGGTGTCGGATCAATGCCCCGAGCCGAACGGCTTCTTTCCCGATGCAGAGCAGTGCGACAAGTATTACGATTGCCGAGATGGCAGCTTGATGGAAAAGCTTTGCCCCGATGGTCTGGTCTTTAACGATTTTAGTCCCCAGCACGAGAAATGCGACCTGCCTTTCGGCATTGACTGTTCCAAGAGATCCAAACTTCGTAAGCCGTAATTTTAACTTGGCAGCCAATCAGTTTTACAAGCCTTTACCATTGAAACTCATAAATCCAAGAATATTCTTTGATTTCGTGATTTATATAATATTTCGATGTATCGATTTTCAGCCTTAAAATTAAAAAACTAGATATTGCAATATTGTATATACAAAAATATGTACGTAAAAATATCAGTAGCCTAACACATATTAATGAATTTTTTAATTACATATCAAATTCAATTAAGGTATACATAGATTATTATTATTTATTTTTAAATGGAAATTGCTTTATATATAATTGAAATATTTAGTTAAAAGTTGATTACTATTAATGTTATATTAATTAGTGAATTTTAGTGAATTTTATAAATAAAAATAAGCATTAAAAGCTATGAAATATGATAGCTATAAACAATAATGCAAAGCATTTGAATTTCTCATTGTATTTAGTATAGGTATATTGAAGTATTTACATATTTATTCAATTTAAGAAATAGTTCGTAATTTCCGTCTGAATAATAATATTCAGTGAACTCTTTAATGTATTGAATTAAAATTTATTGAACATTATGTACAAAAAAAAAAAATAGAATGTATGTAAAGGAGGAATCACCTATAATAATATGTAATTGCATTATTCTGGCAGAGACTCCGAAACCGACTCCTCACTGTCCACGCATGCACGGTTACTTCGCCCATGAAGATCCAACAAACTGCAATACTTTCTATTACTGCGTTGAAGGTAAATTCAATATGATAAAATGTCCGGATGGTTTGGTCTTTTCTGAGAAGACGGGAATCTGCAACTGGCCTGACGAGGCTCAAAAAAAAGGGTGTGGATCCCGGGAGCTTTTCAACTTCACTTGCCCAAAAGTTGACGAGAGTATAGCCGCCACCCATCCACGTTATCCCGATGCAGAGGATTGTCAATTCTTCTACGTATGTATAAACGGCGAAACGCCAAGACGAAGTGGCTGCAAGCTTGGCCAGGCATTTGACGAGCGAACTGGCAAGTGCGACTGGGCCCGTAAGATTCCAGAATGGTAAATGCTACTCTTGGATATTATCGCGCCACTTATTATAATGATCGCTTTTTATATCATATTATATCATACTGCCATATTTATATACTGACATATATATATATATATATATATACACTTTCTCACATTTCATATTGAGTTGATGTACTTGGTATACGTAATTCACTACATAAAGTAGGGTCGGATAAGCCTTCGAATAAGGTTTCCTTTTCATTAAATTATTTGCATGAACATTTAGATGTACTTTTAAAATAAAAATATTTAATTTCTATTAAGCAAGGCAGAAATGCTCTCTTTATTTGAATTTTATCGACCTAAAAGATTTTAAATTTTATAAATGCCAATTATTAAAATAATAAATATAAATAAAGTAATTATTTAAAAATGTACTAAAAGAGAAAGATGGAATTTTGATAAATGGTAAAAAAATTGATATAATTTTATTTAAAAACGTGCTGAGATAAGTAATCGATTAAGATAAGTAAGTAATTAACATGAAGATTTAATGCCTAATCGTCTAAATAAGGAATACAAAATTAAGGAATATTTAATTTTTCATATTCGTATATTTGCATTCTACAAAAATGTTGTTTTACGTTAAAATAATAAATATTTATATTTGAATTGCAGTAAAGATTGGTATAAGGATGTATTGACAGATGTTGAATTAGATGCTCTGGAAAATCCACCAAAACCAAAAACAACAGGATCAAATGCCAGAAGGAAAGGACCTAAAAGAGAAGCTGAATGAGCTAAATAATAGTCTTGAAATAATTTGTTTATTTACTGTTTTCTATTTAGAAAATATTTCTATATTTAGACAGTTGTGTTAATAATTAGAAATAAAGTAGGTAATTTTATGATGTTGAAGTTACTAAAGCTAATGAGCCAATTGGATCAATATTAGAGATGCAGAGACTGAAGTTTTTATTTTCCTGCAATATCTAAGAGAATACAAAATTTGTACTCGGTAAATAAAATTATTCTTTTATAAAAATGATAAGTAATTATACTTCCAATATATATATATATATATATATATATTTATATGTTTGTTTATCGTTTAACCTATGTATACGTCTTTATATGTATTGTAATAATTTTAAGTCGACAAGATTTGCTGTGTAATTGTGTGAAATTATCGTAAAAAGATGTGTGAAAATTCTTTAATTATGATTATAAATAAAAAAGATAAGTAATTTTTATTGAGTAAATAAAGAAACCTTCCAAATTAAAAATTAGTTAAATAATTAGGCAAATAAAGTAGTAAACTATTGATTAAAGCAAAACAAAATTTACGTTATTGTAAAGAATAAGTGTTTCTACATAATATTCATATTTTCGATCTTTCACAGAATAATTTATTGAAATTATTATTTAGCGTGAATTATCGTTTTAGAATTGAACACAACCAATCATCTTTATTACTAAACATTTTATGAGATATTTCAATAATAATAATGCAAATGATTTTAGATCAAAGAAATGTAAAACAAAAATCAATTAGCGATAAAAATAGGAACATTAAACTTTCTAAGAAAAAAATGAAGAATATTTTTCTGTTTTATATAAATTCAATCACCTACTATTGATTTTTTCAATGAATTTGATTAAATGCAAACATTTTAAATAACATGATTTTTATAATTTTTTGAAGTTAATTTTTTTTACAAAGTTATACATACACACACATGCATACGTGTATTCGTATGCACATGTCAAAATTATTCTCATAAAATTAATAATTGAATAATTGTAATTTTTTATTGTTTTTAATTAGAAAAAAACGATATTTGTAAATAGTTTAAATTACAAGAAAATTGAACTATAAAATAACAAATAAAACATGTAAGTTTTATACAATAGGCTACAAATATACGATTAATATTAATATAAATAAATAAATCAATATTTTACATATATTGAACACATATCAGCAAAGAATATTTAGTTTTTTAAACTGGGGTGATAATTAATTTTTACAATATAGCAATAATTCATAAATAATTTTATTTTAGCTATTGCTTTTTGTGTAAGTATTTTGCATTTTTTAATCTATAGTTATATATTGTGTTTATATTATGTCTGACCAAATATATCGCTTATCTACGCGTTTAAATTCGTGTGTTATCTAATTATAAAAATTTAAAACAAACTTTTTACAACTTTTTAATACTTTTTCAATTTCCCATTAAATTTTTTAACGTTCAATAAAGCTATTGATTTCCTAATTAAGCGAATTATTCAACGTAAATATGATAATCAGAATTTAAATTTATATAATTGGAAAATATATTTGTCATTTTATTAAAGATTGAATTTTATTTCGTTATTAAATAAAAGATACATTATATTTCTTTAAAAATATTATTGATTTAATGAAATGAATTTATAAAATTATATTATTCAGACTTTTCCCATATATTATGCTTTAATTAATGTTTATAATGTTGTCATTATAACATTTACGTTCAAAATAAGCGAGTACTTTTTTATTTATTGAACATTAGATTTAAATGTTGTTTATATTGAAAATTTTCTTGTAAAAATAATTTCTTCATTAAGCTTGTTTATTCACTTAATGAAATAGTATATAAAATGAATATTGTTAAAATATTTTCATTAAATTATCTTATTATGTTGCTAATTTATTTTTTAGAGACAGCTTTTGCTTTAAAATGTTGTTCTAAATCACTTATATCGCCGCTCAATTTTGAATTTATTTAAAAATTTTTTCGTTCTTTGAATTAATTGTCAATAATAATTTCAATACCAATTATTTATAAATATATATATATATATATATATATATATATATATATATTAAGTCGAGTAATAATTAAAAAATAATATTTTCAATTATTTATACTAATCTATGCTCTTATGGTAATGGCCTCTTTATGGTAATATTGAAAATTTATACCTTAATTTTTATTGCTATACATTTTATTAGAAATAAATTATATTCCACTCAAAAAGTAGTGATAATATTGATATTAATTATTTAATATGATTACCAAATAATAGTTCTATTATTCATATTCGTTAAAGTTTAATTTTTAAATTAATGTTAAAAACATATGTAAGATAAATTAAAAAAAACGTATCTTATTATATATTACGTACATATATACATTGATGTAGTAGTTATACTTGTGTTACAAGATCGTTACCTTTCCAGCCTATTCAGATCCAGTGTCTCATAATGAAATGAATGCTTGTGGTATTCAACTTGTTTAATGGTCTAGCACATTATTAGGAAAGTACTATCTCATATATAAGAAATGTATTGGCATATTAATTTATACTAATTTCATTTTACAAATAATTGAAATAAAATATGTATAAAGAAATTCTACATCATACAAATTATATTAAATCAGAATTAAATTATCTAGTTTATACAATTATATATATATATATATATATATTGATATACATAATTTTCATCGTTTCTTAGAATCACAAAACTAGTTATAATGCTATTTCGTAAACTTTTTTGTTCATCATTATAAAACGTGCTTTATAAGGATCTTTATCTATTATAAAATAAAAATTAAATTTAGTCTCGAATAGTGTGAATAGTGTTTAATTTAAAACGTAAAGAAATTAAAATGTGTAATAAACTACATTTTCAATCTTGTTCGATATATAATAATAAGAAATATTTTTTTATACTTAAATATTTTAATCATCAGCACTTTAATAATCAAGTATTGAAAATTGATATTATCATATATAGATTTATGTAAATCTATAAATATTAAGAGATAAGAATAATGAAAGCTTGTTATTTATTTTCGTCGGAACGTCATTTGTTTTGGTGAAATTTATCGACAAATTTTTTTACTATTTTGAAACACTTATTAGTCTTAAATATATATTTTTCATAAATAATGTGGTCTCTCAAAAGTCCTTTCCGGTTCGATATTTCTATATTAAATGAATTAAAAATAAATATAATATTATAAAATTAATTAATATATCAACTCTAATCGTTTTATGCTACTAAAACACTAATTGTAGGCTAAAATAAAATTTATTGAATATGATTGTGCTAAGATCTAAATGTGTTCTTAGCGACAGTAGCTGAAAATCAATGAGGTAATGTATTTGAAAATTTTCTAAGAGAGTGAAGGAGAAGGGCAAGGTATGAAATATTAAAAAAAATGTCCATTTATATACGATTTCTGCCTCCACAGATCCAATGACTCGTTTTATTTCATCAGTCAATGTGAATTGTAATCGAAAATACAGTATAACTGAATTCACTCTAAAGATAACGAATGATAAGATCGGCTCCTGAAAAGAGCGAAAGTTTATGGTATCGCTACCATATCCCATTGCGTTTAAAATTCGCCTTTCGCACTGGATTGGAGGCATTTGTGCTGGGTAGAGCGCGGCAAAAGGTGGGGAAACGCCGCTTGGCAGGACTGAAAGTGGGGGATGACAAGGTATACCCGCTGAACGACTGCCCTGCTTGCAGTCTTTCACGCGAGGACCCGACTTTTCACCGACACGGATAGATAGAAAGATTGAACGAGAGAGATAGAGAGAGAGAGAGAGAGAGAGAGCGAGTGTGTGCGTGAGAAAGAGAGAGAGATAGAGAGAGAGAGAGAGAGCACCAAAAAATTACTGACATTTATTTACGTACGTTTTTTCATAATCACATACAAGTACAAAGACTCACACCTACCCATCCGCGTATACGCTGGACCGCGGGCACATTCATACATACGCACTCTTTATCTATTTTGACATCTGTGTATACACATTTATATATTTGAATATTAATGTACTTTTGTGCACTTTTGTAAATAGGACCGTATCGAGATCAGCAAGGTAAATTGACGTAGCCACTGGCTACTTGTACCGCTTGAGTGGCAATCACTTGCCTCGTTTCTTTATATCATTTGTTCATCGCCAGCGAAATTAGAAATGGCTAATATGTACATCAATTTCGTTTGCCTCTTGGCTGTCATTGCCGCAACTCGTGAGTATTCAAAACAATTTAGCTCAAACTTTCCATATTAGTTATTAAGCATCGCGATTAACATTATGGTTTCTTCTAATTCATTTCATTTAATAATCAGAAAACGTCACTTTGATTTTTTGGTTATTTATTTATTTTTTTTTTTTTATTAACCTCTATTTTTATTAATCGTCATTACATCGTTAAAAGTGTTGATAGGTTTGATAAAATATCGAATATTTTGAGTGATAATATTTGTATTATTTCGCTGGAACATTTTAAAAATTTATACGACAAATTCCTAAGTCAGCGATCTTTTTTTATTTTTTAGAAATTTTGCGAACACCGGTTCTGTCGTAATATAATAAATAGGTAATTAATACAGTAATTAGAAGTAAAGACTAAGTATGATTTTAAAACATTCGTTAACCATATTTAATATTTAAAAATTCATAAGCATACAAGTATTTTATTTTTTTTTCCCCCCAAAAATTATTATCATTATCAGATTCATATATGTATTATATTTAATTTAAAATTAAATCTATGTTGTAATAATACACCATATAATATGTATATAACATATAAAAGATTATCATACATTTTCTTGTCTGTCTAAATTTAATTTTAACGAAAAATAATTATTTCACATTTCGGTCGGCTGATATAAAGATAATTATTAATGTTTCATTAATAGGCAGAATTTTATTCCGAAGTGCATATTACAATCGATAACATTAGAAATGCAAAAAATGTTATTTTACTAATCTTTAACATCGTATTTTTATGAGACCAATCAATTTATGAACAAGTTTTCTTTTTACCAAAAATTATTTACAATAGTCTTATAAAATAGTTCTACGATATTCGATAATATTTCAAATATAAAATATAATTCATAGGATTGAAATTACCGAAAGATTTTACGAATACTATATTTCTTTTATTGAAGATTCATGATTTGCAATTACCACAACATAACAGCGGTAGTAAGTTCATTGAAGCTCTATATGATTAACGGTTTTATAAATTGGTAAAGTTACTTCTAATTTAACAGAACTCGGATAACATATTTTTAATAAATTGAGATATAAAAAGTTTGACTTGACGATGGAAATAAGATTTTATTATACAGAATTGGACCAAGTTAAAAGCCTTTGGGAACTCTCATTTAAAAAGCAAAAAACAAAAAACAAAAAAACAAAAAATTTCTTTTATTATTTTCTAACATCTCTCAAAAGAATTTAATTTATCGAATATTTTCAAACAACAATATAAGATATCATTTTCACTGGTCCCAAAGCTCGGCTACTTGTATAGATAAATTATGTTTTTTGAATGCGAATTCACATTTTCAATGTACAGACGGGAGGAAAATCAATATATATTAAAGAAACAAAGATGTAAAATGTGTATTTACTAATTTCCAAAGTCAGGCAGGCCCTACTCTCACTGGTATCTCCCTCTTAAACCGTGAATTACAAAGATAATCAAGAGTTTTCTAAGCACTCGCGCGAAAAGTTTCGATGGCGCGACGTACGCACTTTCTAAAGTGTGAACGTCGGAACGGCTTCTCTTTCTCTCGGCCTCGCTTGCCCACACGCAACCTTACGTAAAATAATTTTAAGCGGAGCGCACAAGTCACTAGTCGAGACTCGTAAATCGAACGGCATATGGAAAATTCATGCGAGACTCGAATACACATACATACATTTGTAACCCTCGCGTAGCTAAATCGTTACCCTGGAGTAGTTGCGTAAATTCCCCGAATCGTCGAATAATTATTCCGAAGTTCCAGCGAATTCTGTTGTAACTACATTCGGCCGGTCTGCGTTAAGATGTCCTTTATAATTGGAATTGTGAATACCGCTTTTTACATGTATTTCCTATTCCATTATTTTATGCAATAATTTTTTATCTTTGTGTTTATATATTTATATCATTTCATTAGAGATTTTTAAGATACTTGCTAAATAATTGCTAAATTTCATTAATAATATTTTACCCATGATTTATTTTTGATGCTATAATTACTTTATTTATCGGTACTTTTCGCTACAAATTTAAAATAATAAAGCATAAATAAAACTATCCCATCCATTGAAATTATAGTTTATAGTTTCTGGAAGAAACACGATCAAATAAATGTCGAACGCTTATTTATCAGTAAAATAAGGAAATGCACAAGACAATGTGAATTTACTGATTTAATAGGAAATATAAGAGATTGTTCCAATTCATTATTTTGTAATTCCAATCATTTCTCGAATAGCTAGAAAAAAAATGTGCTCCGAAGATATACTTTAAATTCATAGAAATACTTGCGGTTTCTATTAGATAACTATTAGATGAAGTAGCCTTCTTTCACTTATATTTATTTTATCCAACGACGTCAATTTTTATAAATTTTTATTGAATGAATATCTTTATATTATTTAGGAGATGTTTTATTTTTCTTTTGTTATACACTCAATCGGTGTTTAAAACGTGGAAAATATGTCGATGTAAGAATTTATTTGAATTGTTATCGGATGAAGCAGTCGCTTATGCTGTATAAATTTGCAAAAAAGCAATGAATATGAAAAAAAAAAAAAAAAAACTTCTTTTAATCTCTTTCCATTCCACGAAGAAAGTTTTGCAATTACGCGAATGATTTAATCCCGGAAATGGCGAAAAACCGCGAGAGAAAAAACTCCTTACATCTACAAAAGTCGAGTATCTGGATGAATCGAGAATAGTTAATAGTTATGTAACATATCGAATATAACAAGGCAAATATTTCGAGATTTTATTCCTGTAAATGTTGCACGAGCATGTATTGCTTGTTCTTGCAGGTGGAGCATATAATTGCCCGAAAGAAGACGGACAGTACGAAGATCCAAAGCAGTGCGACAAATACTACGAGTGTATCGACGGTTTACCAATTGAAAAGTACTGTCCGGATGGCCTGGTGTTCGATCCTCTGAACCGGAAAGTTAACAAGTGTGATCATGTCTTTAACGTTGATTGCGGCGACCGACTTGAGCTGCGTGAGTAACAAACTTGACTTCTTCCTTATTTATCAAATTGCTACGCTTTTTCTATATTTGTATGTAAATTTTTAAAAAAATTATACGAACGTTTAATTACTCTTTACTCTTATTTATTAATTTATATCTTATCCTTAGCGCCTCAAATGCTAATTCAAATTATATTCATATGATGCAATCAATATGGCTTTTGGATTATAAAATTATGTATCGTCTAATTGATACTCATAGGTCTTCTAAGAAAATTTGATATTGCAAGCTTTATGCAAAATTTATTTATGCTTTATAAGATCTTAAAACTTATTAGAGAGCTCATAACTTATTCGCGCACGTCGTGAACAACTAACGCACAATACAAACTGTTCGTTTATTGGCTCAAAATTTTATTTCTAATAAAACTTATTTGCATTATTTTCTGTCAGCGAAAAAGTAAAGATAACATTATGAATTACAAACGGATAGAGTTAGCCACTTGTAGTATTTAAGCATTTGTAATATATAAATTTGATTTGAAATATAATTCGATTTACAGTTTCTAAAATGAATTTATGCAATATAAAATAATCCATTTTATAATTTATTAAGTTATTAATTTTGTATATTGTAAGGGATATTGAAAATGTAGTATTCTCGGATTGATTTATTCCTTCATGACTAGTTATGAAGATAATAAGGGGGCTTATATATATATATATATATATATATATGCAATTGCAGGGAAAAAAACGGGACCCCGCATGCACGTGTGAATAATACATTTTCGTTCGAGGAAAGTTGATGAAAATGTTGTAAATTCGGTTGATCTTACATCAGTCTAAGATCAATTTAAATTACAGTTCTCGTTTAATTATCGTTCGATATTGATAATACGTATTCAATTATAGTTCCGCTTCTATAATAAATTGACGCAAGTTGATGATCAAGATATCTCAGACTTTATTTAAAAAGCTGGTGAACTTACAGAAATTAATGAAAAATTACAAAATTAAAGGAAAAACTTTAATAATAATTAAAGTTATTAAATAATTAGATTTAGATATTTTTAATGGTAATATTCTTGCATAGATTAATCCTATATTTTATTTATCCTGTAATTAATTTACAATAGAAATATAATTTTAAAAATTGAAAATTGAATTGCAAAAAATTGCAAAATCATTGAAGTATCATTAGTTACTACATCATTGTACATTGGCTAGGTATAGGTGATATATCGACAAATAATATGATAAATTTCTATCATAAATAATGACTTGTGTTATGGAATTAAAATTTTTACTATCTAATCGAGCACATCAAGCTTGTACGATTTATTATAATATCCTTCAAATTACCCAAAACTTGAATGTAGTTAATAAATTGAGTGTAATAAATTGTAGTACTCGAATTTATTACATACATTTATTACAATACACAATTTATAATGAGATTAAGTACAAGAATTTATGAAGCTGCAGTCTGAATCTCGATAATAATGTGGAGTTTACGTAAATAAGAAAGATCGTGGTGGGAATATGCTTTCAGAGCCACCTCAACCAACGAAAAAGTGTCCGCGCAGAAACGGTTTCTTCGCACATCCTGATCCATCGGTCTGCAATATATTTTTCAACTGTATAGACGGCGAGGCCATTGAAATTACTTGCACGACTGGGCTACACTTCGACGAATACAGTGGCACGTGTGTCTGGCCCGACAGTGCTGGTCGAAAGGTATATGAATCACATTGTTAGCAACTCCATAACGGATTTATTTTTTATGTCTTAAATAGCAGTGATTGATAATGGAATGATCGTTGACTCGGAGTCATCGTTATAGTAGGCAATATTTTCATACTCGATGTTAGTAAGGCATTATTATTAACAATTTATCGATCTAAGAGTCGAAAGAGTGAACATTGTATTAAGTGTGCGCTTTAAAGAATTTTATGGTTTATTGAAAAATTTGTAATATCATTCATAAAAACTAGCAAAATTAAATAAAATATTATAATGATCAAAGTTAGGGTAAATAACTTTAAAATTAGATAATCCCTTAATCGAAATATAATTATGTTATATAAATTATGTATATATTTGTTCAATTTATAAAATTTTATTCATTTATTGCGTACTTGCTGAAAACCATATTTTCTATCACGTTAACTCCATAATGATTTTCAAAACTTTATTTATATGCGCAACTTATCTGACATAATATTCAATACATTTAAAAATAACTTAAATAACACATATTACCAAATGCTTTTATTCCAATTATTTTATTAGTATCTATAGTGCGATTTTTATAGCTAGTCAAGCTCACGAATAAAACCATTTATTCTTTTTAATATATTGTATATTTAAAATAAATAGACAGCGCATAAATTTTTAATTACCAAGACTAAAAATACATAATACTTAATATTTAGCAAAAACAATATACTTTGAATAACAATAGAGTAACTATCTGAATTGTAATTTTTGAATTTATGTTAAAAACCTCCTTGCTGTATCTAATGATTCTATATTTTTATTTAGATTTTTATTTAGATTTTTATTTAGAGATTTTTGTTACTAATTATTATTCTGTTAAAGGGGACGACATCGAATTATTATATGTTTAAAATTTCAATTATTTCAGCTGATTAAGATTAAGAGGCACGATATTTTTACAATTTAACGAACGATTATAATTAACATACATTTTTTAACTTTTGTGTAAATTTGTATAAAAATTATTTTAGAATTTCTATATTTGCACGATTTAATCCAATATCTAAAGTCTTTTTTTTTTATTTGAACCACTTGTAGTTAAAGCATTAAAAAGTTACTCGTGATTCTCGTGAACGACTAATAATATCAACGTCTGCGTGCAAAGATTTACAATAATCCTATGGCTATGACATGTACAATATTAAGAGATTGATTATTCAATAATAACATCCATGGAATTGGATCAATATCTAGTTGATTGTTTGATTTTCATTTATTTAATTTCACTTGATTTTCATATTATTATTATCAGAATTAGCGTGCAAAATTTATATTTTACAGATGCTTTAGTCTCTATGGTAGATTATAATTATTATACGACATAAGTTTTTCTGGTTTCTTCATCCTCTTCTTGCCGCCTCTCTCTCTCTCTCTCTCTCTCTCTCTCTCTCTCTCTCTCTCACTTTGAAATAAAATGAGAATTATTCAGGATAAGTCAATTACTATAAAATCAATAGCATTAACCACATCGAATGCAATAATTTTGATTTGCAGTGATCTTTAAATTAACAATAAAACTGATTTTTATAATTATTAGAGGTGAAATGTCCGATAAATAAAAGATGACGATGATTGGAGTAGATAAATAAAAAGACTAAGACCCGAATTTCTTCGTTGATTTGACTTGACTGAGCAGGGCTGCGGTGTCGTTGGCAAGACGTTGTCCGATGGTTTTGAGTGCCCAAAGGATACAGGCGTTGACAGTAGAGGACTCGCCGTCGACCATCCAAAGTTCGCACATCCCGAAGACTGCCAGAAGTTCTACGTGTGCTTGAATGGCGTCACACCACGTGAACAAGGATGCAGCGATGGTACCGTTTACAATGAGGAGCATCAGAGGTGCGACGCACCCGAGAACGTTCCTGGATGGTATGGCATTTGATTTTTATTCTACAATTGCCGAGTATTCCGTTATTTGTTTTATTGCTGCATTCTAGTCGCATTGAGCATCTTATTGTGTGCCTCTTGTATCAAATGACTTATATAATATAATTTCCGTATTTTAAATTATTCATGGTTATATTTTCGAAAAAGTGTTATTTAAAGCTCTTTTTACAATTGGTATTAATTATTGTAATTAGTATTGAATCGACATTAGTATGTAAATGAAATGCATAAGATACTTAATATTAGTCATATTCGATTATTTCGTTAGGATGCATTGTATTGTTAATTGAATTGGACAATTGTTACAATATAAACAGTATGGAATTTTGAAAAATAGCTTCATACATAACTTAACACTTGTTCTTCTTCATTTTTTCATCCATTTATGATCATTTGAATTAGAAATCAATCATAAAATAATAATCATGGGGATCGAAGATATGTATGTTATTAAATGAGAAATTTTTTTTAGCGAGGACTGGTATAAAGACGACGCTAAGAAGCCATAAATCACCGCAACGACATTGATTTGTCCCGCATCGGGACACCGTACATATATAAATATATCTCCGCCTCATGTATCTATCGTTAGTTCTATAGATATGTAAATGTTTTGTAATATTATTAAATTTTATCTCGCACAAGGCTTTTGTGCTTTTATAAACAAAATAAACAAAATAAATAAATAAATAAATAAAAATTATATTAAATAGTTAAATAATTAAATAAATCAATAAAAAATATTAAAAAAATCACGTTATAAAATGTTGACATTGAAATTCTATATAAGTATTATATTTAATCTAAGGTCTCATCTACTATAATAATATAATACTAATATTATATTAGCATCCGAGTGCTTTAATACATATCACCTGTACTTGATATAATGGTGAAGATTTACTATAATAGAGAGAAAATTTAAAGGTTAAGAACCTGCATTATCGTAATTTTTACAAATCAATAAAAAATTAATAACATAAAATTATATTCTCTGTTGATTTATAAACCTATCACGCATTACCTACTATGAATGAAAGTTAACAAAATTTTTATTTTTAAATTTTTATTAGTTTTATATGAAAAAATTCTAACTGTATGTTTCGTTAACGTATACCATATATAGTTCGTGTTATTAATAAACGGCCTTTTGCTTATTTCCATTATAATTTATTTATATTATAATTTATTTTTAATTGTAATATTATATTATTTATAAAGGAATTTATATAAAAATTAAAAGGTAAATCACATCTGTTTTAATTGGAAATTTAATGGAAATTTAATTTAAAAATGTCAAAATAATGGTTATTTCTTCTTTTTTGTTAATTTCATCTAATGTTTTGTGGTTTTATCAATAAATTGATGAATTACTGTCATTCAGAAAGAAATGGAAAACATGAAGGACGATAGTAATAAATGCCCATAGATAAGCATTCGTTTTTCCCAAGAAACTTAAAAATTCCTTGTCAAATTATTCTCGGGTTAGAAAAAAAGATATACGCCGTGGACGGAAAGTGCATGAATAATTTCGTAACACAAAGCACATCGACAGTGACTTCCGACTGACTCTCGTCAAGTGCCAAGGATACCTGTATTTTCAAAAGACCTTGGATGCCGCGGGCACCTAAGGCACTCGTGTCGAACGATCTCACGTAGCCGAACTTTCTCTCGGTTGATAAACCGGGCGCGTCATATTTTTTTGTTTTTTTTTTGTTTTTTTTTTTGTTTTTTTTTTTGACATCGTCCATAAGTTCGAAAGAACTAGATGTACTTTCGATCGGACTACCGGATCTTGGTAAAAGTCCTATCAGATATGTTCCGCTTTCGTTCTATGTCTCGGTCAACGGCGAACCTTGGCTACGCGAATGCCTATCGACATTACAGCTTTGCTATTCAATAAGAAGTCGTTTTCTCTATGCTCTTTTTGCAGTGTACTCAGTTTCAGTGTACTCCAGCCCTCCAGTGAAACGGACATCGATCTAACGACAAATGCACGAGCTCACCTCCATTTGTACGGAATACATATGCATTCCTTTCTTTATATTTTCTTTATAATTGATTATTAATTAGTGCGTAGATTATATATTATAGCGGATTCTTGATCCGATTTTATCTACAGGTGAAATTGAATAGTGTATCGAGGGTAAGAGAGAAAATTTGATTGTTAATGATAGATAGCTTTTTATTATTTTAGAATATATATCTCAGTCATAACAGCCAGCGTGCTTTATAAGATTTTAAGATTTGATGACCTAAATTATTTGTTTATTTACATTTTCAAGTTCTAGCTTTTACTATTAATTAGTTAGTATATTAACTACTTAGTTTAGTAATAACTACTTAGTATAGTAGCTACTTAGTATATTTAATTATTACATAGGTATGTTTGTATGTAAATAATTATTTGTTCAAATATTAGTAATAACTATGGAGATGAATCGCTTTTAAATATTCAATTTGTGAATAATGCGTTGAAAATGACCCGCAATAGATTTATTCTTAATTAGGTCTAGACACACATGCAAAAATATATGTGCACAGCATTCATATTTGGATTAAAAAATATTTTATAATATGTAAGTACTAATAAAATATATAGCTCGTTATAAAATAATTATTTTGTGTATATAATTTGTTCTAAATATCTTGAAATTAATAATAGTCTGTGTTAATTAGTATACTTTTCTTTTCTTTTTATTTTTGTAAAATTATTAAGCAATTATTAATTTTTTGTGTGTTTTAAATCTTTTCAATATATTGAATTACTGGATTTAATATCAATTGTATAAATAATTTATATAAAATAATGAGTATTAATTCCATTATTATTCATAATATATTTATTTCGCTTGAATTTTTTTTATTATTCATAAAAAATATATTAGTTAAATATTATTATAATTGAATATCGATTACAAATATAAGAGTACTCAAGAGTAATCAATTAGTAATAAAGACCGAATTAATTATGTTTTATTACGCAGAACACTTTAATATCAATCGTATTTTATTATAAATTAATTTCTAATATGTAGCAGAGCTATATGCTATGTTATTATTTTCCGGAAATAGATTATGAAAGTAAATTATTTCCTAATAAATCAATCATTTTTATGCAACGAAATATAAATTTCTAATATCAGAAATATCTACTGCTTATGTAAACAGCCATTTTATAAATATTAAATATAATGTTTATGTATATATTAATAACTATTTGATTTAAATTGATATACAGATATATAGATAATAAAAGAATGAATTTTTTTTATTAAATATTTTTAGAAAAAATATATATTTTAATGATTTTTTCAAGGATCATAGTTAGTTTAAAAAAAAAAAATATGTAAAATTTCTAGTTTCATCGTTTTGTATACAATTGATAATTTATTTTCTATTAAGTAATATTTTTACTTTCTTTGATAAGCATTCGTATAACTTTGATTACCTTCATGTATTTTGAAATTTATATATATATATATATATATGAAATTTTGTAATTACTATTTTGGAAAACAGTATAAAAAACATATTAAACAGTATTATTAACAGAATAATGAAATAGTTGACGTATCTATAATATATGTATAATGGGACAAAGAAATTTATTTCTCATTAAGATAGTAAAATAAGGTGTGTCCAATATACAATATATTATGTTAAAATAGTCTAATATTCTAATTATTCCATTAATGTATTAAATATTTGGATTAATTAAATAAAGAAATAAAATTTTAATACAGCAGACAATATTATTATTGAATGAAATATACGTATTTATAAAATTTTTGTAAATATATAAATAATATAATTTTAATGTTTTTCATTTCTCTATAGCGGTTTCTATTTAGGTCAATGTATGCTGTTAATTATAAAAATTTCAACTAGATTTATAATTTAGATATTGAAATCATGTTTTAATAAAAGATTTTTTTTAATAACAATCAATTTTGCGATTTTAGCTAACACATTACATATAGTAATTAAGATTTGAAATAGTCTTATCTACTTAATAAGTGAATAGTGCTTTGATAATATCAAGTAACATTAAAACCATTATACGAAATAGTTTTATAATAATTGTTATCATAATTTTAATTTAACTTTCATTACGTATTCAAATAACTATTATTTACAACAAGAAACTTTAGCTGTATCAATAGGTATATGTATATTTATTAATATAATTAGTTGAAACAAGTAATGAAAGTTTATTTACAGTATTTTTATAAATTCAGAAGAAATTTCGAAAAATATAATTTTATTAAATATTCCATAAATAAATAAATACATAAAAAAGTATTTTAAACTTTAAAATTATTACTTAGTAAAAAAATCATAATAAAATTTTTTTAAGTTTTTTAAAATGTTAGTTTACCGTTGCTTATAATTTTATTTGAATATTATATTATCAAATAATTTTTTAAAATTTATACTTATCTAATTTTATTAGATTAGATTTATAAAAATAATGGAGAGGGTTGTTTTAAAATATTTCAATATCTTTATATTTAAATAATTTACGTTCATAATTTTTAATAAATTATTATAAATATATAAATAGGATCAACTATTTAGTAACGAATTATGATTTTAGGTAAATGATGAATAAGAATAAAAATAGATATAATTTTGCTATAGTTCATATATAATTTTTTTTATATTATTTTTTATATTATTTTTATATATTTTTTATTATAAATCTTACTGAATAATTGCAATTTTTTGTAAATAATAAATATATATATATATATATATATATATATATATTTATTTATTATTTACAAAAAAATATATATATATATATATATATATATATATATATATATATATATATATATATATATATATATAATCAACCTAAATTCTAGATGATGTAATTTGTAAGTCGATGTTTGGAAATTCGAAATTTGTGCATTCATGATTGGAAAATGTCGAAGAAAGGAAATTCTTGTACATATATTTGTAGATTCCTACAATGGAAAAATAAAAACTCGTAACACTGAAAAAATTATATAGTTACAACAATTCAGTTTATAATATATAACATATTATTGTAATTTGATGGGCAGATATTATTTTCTTGATTTATTTCATGCTCTTTGATTCTGTATCGATTATTATTTGATAAAGAGAAATAATAAATCCTTAAACGGAATTTTTACCAGTTAATATCGCATAATCTTTTACATTTACTGAGCAATTTATTTGTCAAATGGCAATATAACAATATTAATAATAATATCTTCAAAATTGATTATTTATTCAAGTATTCAAGAGAGTTAAGGAAGAATCTTGCAGAGTGATTAGCATACTAGAGGCAACGTTGCAAGCTGTCGAGAGGAAAAGAACTGTTCGGACTCGAGGTGCTAAAATATAGTGAGTGAGCAAACGAAAGAGACCGATGAAGAGAGAGAGAGAGAGAGAGAGAGAGAGAGAGAGAGAGAGAGACAGGCGATAGGTGAATTCGGTGAAAGGGGGGTGGGTGGGAGGGGGCCCTCTTGAAATGCAACTACAGGGAGCAAGTGTGCGCGTCGTGAAAACGCAGTCGAGCGAAACCAGTCCAGTGACAAGCCACGAGTGTTGCTTCCCTTCGTCCAGCTGCTCGACGCACACCTCGGCCCTTAAGCCCGCCCACGCATCCGCTCACAACAAGCACATATCCACGATGTGGAGGTTCGTTGTCGGGCTTCTCGTAGCCGGGGCTCTTACCGACGCTCAGTTCCGGTGCCCCGAGCCCAAGGGCTACTACCCAGATCCGGAGCAATGTGACCTCTACTACGCCTGCGTCGACGGCCAGCCAGAGGAGCGGCTTTGCAAGGATGGCCTCGTGTTCAGGGACGACAACCCGAAGAAAGAGCTCTGCGACGTCCCCGCTAACGTCCAGTGCGGCGATAGAACGGCCCTGCGTAAGTATACCTGGCGATGTTCCCCAGCCGATTTGTCCCGACAATTCCAGGCGCTGCTTAAAATGTACTTCCGCTGTCTTAGGATCCCCAACTTGGACCTACGTTCATCTCGCACGTTCATTTATTTAATAATTAATTATTAATTAAACGAACTATGTAATACTGTTGAATTTACATTTAAATCTCCATGATAAATTTATTTGCCACTCGAGAGCATTATTTCCTCAATGTTGCTGTAATTGTGTGTCGGTTAGTCATAAGAAAATTCTTGTGATACATCGATCGTAGCAAAAATCTTATAATCTGATGAATAGACAAAATTCGATTAAATTCAATAAATTTTGATTCTAGTTGAAAAGTGCCATTTAAGTTTTATATTAATTATTATTCGCATTACATAAATATATTTATTATCCTGGAAAAAGTTTATTTCGTCGAATGCTCATTTAGATGAGCAATTAATCATTTGAATATCTTTAATTTTAAGTATACCTATTGATGAAAAAGTATTTACATCAATATTAATATTAATTGAGTATAAATTTCTCATAGGCCGATATGATCGATTATTGGCTTTCTAATTTGTAATACGGCATTCGATTTAAACAATGATATAAAAATTTGAAAAATCACACAATCGTAGTAAAATTCTATAAATTTCAGGCTGTTAATTCAAGTTAATTCCCTATACGTTACATCACGAATTATTTGTAATTCAATGGTAATGCTTTTATCATTATATATGCGATAAAATTATGTATTTTGAATAATACTTAAAATTATATAATTTTAATGTGTAATAATAAATGGTTAAATATTGCATCTAATATTATATTATATTTGAAAATTACATTATATTAATTAAATTATATTATATAGAAAATTATATTTGATAAATACATGAGAAGTAATTAACATATACGCTCGAGCTTCATAATATTTAATTTTTGTTTTTATTATTTTTCAATTTAATGATGAAAATAATAATACATTTTCTAATTTAAACACTCATCAACATGGAATTTTTCCAAACTATAGTAAACTCTATACTTATTTTGATATTCTAAACCTTAATACGCTACGCGGTATTTATACAATAAGAGCACAATAATGCTCAAAGACTAAAGTATTACTCTGAATTTAAAATCAATAATTTAATTCAACATCCAGCTGTAATGAAAATAATTAAACTTTTATCAAATATAAATTCTCATAAATGTGCGTGTATTCTTGGAATACTTAAGAAGCGAAGTATTTAATGATTTTAAGACACAGCCCTGCTATTGTAAATCATTTTTACCAATATTTTAACGATTTAAGTTATATGATAGTAAAAGCACGGCGGATCTTTAATGGAATAAAATAATCTTAAAATATAGCAAATTTAACTAAATATTAATCAGCCAGTAGAAAAATAATTATGAAAAATAATCGTATGAAATCAAATATATTAAGTTACAGGTAATTATTTAATATTTTTCAGGAAATTAAACTTTAGATTTTATTTTGAAATATATAATTTATTGTGAATTATTTACTCATAAATATATATATATATATATATATATATATATATTACTACAGTTAGGCTACTTTCTTGTATAAATTTCTGCAATTTCAAAGGCATTATACAAGCTACTGTTTTAATAATTAATTGGAGCTAAATTGCCAAGTTGTGCATTAATCAAAATGCCAGACTTTTGATATTTATTGGAGTGCATTGCAGAAGGGAAAAAATTTCTGTAGTCACACTCAAAGTTAGCTTGAGAATAACTTTGTATCCAGTCGAGACCGTTTGATTGTATATTCACGAATAGACTGCAACTTTCGCCGATTTCAGATCGCAGCCAGCCGACGCGAACAGTTCGTGCATATGAACGCAACGAACGCAGATTGGTCGCAACGACAAATGCACTATACACATGTATCTTGAGAACCGGTCTTCAAGGTTCTTCTTGAAAAATTATTAAAAGCTGACCCACTACCTCTCGCGGTCCTTTTATCTTCAGCCTCATACAGACACCTTTTGTATTATTCGTACAATCCACGCAATCGTTTATTCAATACTTGTAGCCTTCCTTTCCTAAAATAGATATGCATAAAAGCGAATTTTATACAGATGCCATTGTTTAAACTGGCGATTATACTTTCATTTTCTTTTTCACAGAGGAACCCCATCCTTCCAAAGACTGCCCACGAGCTAACGGTTACTTTAAGCACGAAGATCCTCTATTCTGCGATAAATTTGTCAATTGCATTGATGGCATTCCGCAGGTAATATCCATGATAACGATATTATTTTATTATTACAATTTTATATTAGATTATCTTAAAGAAATTGAGATAAATAAAGAATTGTATTAGCTTTGTGGTCTGCTCTAAAACAATACTACAATAAATTGTGTTAGTAGCTTAAATGTTTGCTTATATTTTTATAATAAAACATTATTTAGATAAATGTTTTTATTACAACATTTAAATTAATAACTATAACAAAAATCAATATACATTTAATTTACAAGATCGCATAAAAAACTATATTTTTTTTTAATTACTTTTAAAGAAATCATAATGCTAATAACTTTATGCGAGAGTGATAAGAATTTTAACAATTTTTTATAATATTTTACTAGTAATATCTCATTGCATTTATTGTAAGTGAATAAAAATTTTAAATATTTTTGTTATTACAATTTAGTTTGATTCACTATACATTTACAAATAATGAAAGTAGATTTTTATTTTATATGAGATTTAGTAAATGATAAATATTGATACTTGCAATAAGTTATTAATAAAAGAATTCTATAATTAAAAAGTAAAATGTATAATAATTCAATTTATAATTGATATGAGTTTATTATCATTTAAATAAATTATATAGAGTTGAAAGGTTGCTGTTACAATAATTAATATAATTAAATAAAATTATTCTAATATAAAATAATAAAGTAAACAATAGCTCTATAAATTATAAATATAATTAATAATAGAATTTTAACACTGATGTAAACCATGAAATTTAGCTAAAATAAACAATAAATTGTATCGACATTTCTTCTCATTAAATTTATGATTGTATAACTTTCAATTTTCATGTGAAATTGTCTATATTTGATTCATAATTTTTATTAACATTTTGGGAGGTCATATTAAACTTTTAATTCCGAATTTAATCAATTTTCTATGAAATGAACGATCATCTTTTTTAAATATCATTGTGTTCAATCAATCTACACGTTATTACTCCGGAATAAACTACGTAATTGATAGTTTTCACTAGGAAAAAGAATTTCATTGAATTTCATATTTATAATTTCATAATAAATATGCGTGAGATTTTAGTTATTGTTATGATATATTAATGCATAGAATTTACTGTTAGCAAAAACTATAATAATTATTTAAACAGATTTATAATAATATATATATATATATATATATATATATATATATATATATATATAATTTTTATAATGTGAAAATTATAAGAAACTTATAATTACATGATATAGATATTATATAAAGGTAGGAAATAAAATAATTCAATATCAAATATTGATGACTTTAGAAAATAAATACAAACTCACAGTATAGAGTTGGGTAAATGCTAAGTACATATTAAAGTAATAATTATCTCAAATATTGAATCAATGGAACCACTGAAATTTATTGCCGAGTTATAAATAATATTAGTCTTTAATTAATAAGTTTTAGTATCAATAAGTATTAGTCTTTAATTACCTAAAAAAAAAAATAAATCATCAGAAGTTGATGATTGAAAATTTATGTAACAATTCTTCAATTGAATAATATATTTCATTTAAATACAATATTGATCCTTAACCTTGTAACAAATTGAGTAGTATAATGCATCTATAAAAGAAAAGTCGAAGTAAAAATTTGCATTCGAATTGTTGATTATCATTTTAATATTAAGTCTTTAATATTAATATAAATCATCTTATAAAGTCAAGAGTCACCGTATAAAAAATTTTATACCACCTTTCTATAATAAAATATATTGGTTGGCGACAGGTAATGCCTTGCCCGCCTGGGCTTGTCTACGAGGAGAAAATGTCTAGCTGCGTATGGGCAGTGGATGCTACACGACTCTGTCAGGACGCGAAACGCGAAACCCTCGATGACGGCTTCATTTGTCCAGCGGGTGACGTCATCGGCCCTCAAGGAAGAATCTTACCTCATCCGACCTATCCCCATCCCGACGATTGTGCCAAGTTCTACATATGTCGGAATGGAATGGTTCCGCAAAAGGGTCAATGCGAGGAAGGTCTCGTTTACAATGAGGACATTTTCAGGTGCACCGAACCTGAATCAGTCCAAGGATGGTAATTACCGAAATTTTACATTATTTTTCATTTTCTTGTCTGAGTTGATGAATATGAAACAACATGTTCCATATCATATATTGTTTAACATGCGGATAACCAAGTTATTGGTGCTCAGATGTTATTTAAAATAAACACAAATACCAACGGATTGATTACGCTTGCCAAAATTTTAGACCATTTATTTTAAATTAAATTACATATGAAAATATAATTACATTGAAATATACAAAACTTTTCACATAGAATTGGTTATTTAGATTACTATGCACTTTTAAGTAACTAATATTGATAGATTTTCGAAAAATAAATAATATTGCATTCGTAAAAATCGAGCTTTAAAAGAATAAACAATGCATGCTTATACAGACTTTCATGAAAAAGTAGTTATTGTTATAAAATTGTTAATAATAAATAACCAAACTTTAACAACGATAGCATCTGTAACACGATAACAAATATGAACAATTGATATTGATAATAAAAATAATTCTTAAAATGTATAATTATAATGATATTAAATTAATTGATTATATTAATGATATTAAACGAAATATTATAATGTTATTAAAAAAAAAAAACTTTAATTAAAACGATCTTTATTCGTAAGATCATAATTGCTTACTTATACGATGATGAATTTTATAAATATTTTGTATTATGAGTAAATATTTTTTTCAACAAAATAACAGGCTGCAGTCAAATATGTTTTGATTTCTTAAACAAGAAAGAGTATATTTATATATTTAATCTAAACAATACTTTATACGCATATATATATATATATATATATATATATGTGTGTATATATATATACGTATAAATACCTGATTAGTATGTAATACGATACTTTCTATTTTATATAAACACATTTTAAATCGATGTTTTAATATAAATGTATAAAATATATTTAAATTTCATATGTATTATTTTGCTGAATTAGTATTTATTTTACATCTACAGATTAAATTAATATAAATTTATTGTCTATTAATTTTTGTTTCGATAATTACAGCATTTTATAAAGATTTTTATTATTATTAATTTCAGCTTTCTCATTTACATGATTAAGAGGCTCACAAAAGAATATTATTTTGTATTCAATTATATTATAAGATTGATAAAAAGTAAATGGTAAATTCTGTCTTTTTTTTTTTTTAAATTATAATTTGAATAATTATTATTAATATATTAACAAATATCAAATATTACTCGGACTGATTTATTATAATATTTTATTAATAAATCATACAATATTTTAATCAATAATCACTGTATGAATAATTTGTTTAATAAATTTTACTTATCCTGCAAGCTATGACAAATAATAAGATAAAGCGTATAATTGTATATGTGTATATATTTCCATTATGTTGATTCAATGACCAAAAAATATTTTTTATTTAAAATATGTGAAGTTTTCAGTACTAAGCTTTTATGACATAAGCAATAATTTATTTATCGTAAATAAAGTTATAATAATAGAAAATTCACATAATAATGTTATTAAATATATATTTGAAGAGTTTGATGATTTTCACTCGCACTGATATTTATGAGAGAAACGAGGCTCCTTTCGTAAATACGAAAACCATTTGCTCCAGATTTCTATTTAGCGTTCGATTTCACATAATTTCTTTTCACACACAATAAAACTTTATTTTGCATTTTCTTTAATTTTCAGTGAGAACTATTACAAAGGCAAGAACTGAAATATGACAATCCTAAACAAGCAAATCATGAAAGACCAGATAGGCGCCTAATTACGATATTAATGGCTGATACACGCAAATATCTTTATTCTATAAATAAACGATACAATTTAATATAATAACAACATTATATCGAAGTAAATAGATGCTCATATTTTGTGGAGAATTGAAGACTAAATCCACCTAAATCAATGGAATATATTTTACGAATTTTGTAATTTCAAAATGTTTAACGAAACAGTTTAATAACTGACTGGAATTTAATTTTGGTTCTTGGCGAGAAATATGTATTTCTTAAAATTATTTGAAATTGTTTACATAGTTTATTATAGATTATATATTATAAATATTTATAAAATATCATGTAGTTTTATTTAATAAAATTCCAATATATATTTCCATACATAAGTATATATCGAGTTATATGCGTATTTATAATGAAAGTATCATTATTACTACTAATATAACTTTTATTAACAATAACAATCAAAAGAACAACAACAACTATAATAATAATAATAATAATAATAATAATAATAATAATAATACTAATAATAATAATAATAATCGTAAAAATCACATAAGACCATGGTAATAGACAATACGAAATCATGAAAAAATCTTTTTAACAAATAATATAATACATAGTGTTTTTAAAATATCAAAAGCAATATAATGAATATAAACAATACTCATAAAATTGTAAATACTTTATATATATATATATATATATATATATATATATAATATATATATATGTATGTAATTATCATTTAATCTAATTAATTTTTTAAAATTAATTATATATATACTTTATGTGTATTTCAAAATCTTTAAAGAAAATTCACATGAAGTAGATTGATTTATACATAATAAATGTATTAGTAAATAAAATATATAATAAATAAATAAATACATATATATATATATATATATATATATATATATATATATATATATATATATTATAATAGTTTTATATTTGATAATATTTAAGTAACTTCATAAGTAATAATATTACTTGTTAAATATAGAAAATACTACAAATTATATAAATTAAATATATTTTAGATATACGTATATATACATAGTCAGATACTTATATACATTTTTGATGAAATCCTTTCTGCAAATTAAACTTGATAAAACATATATTTAAATAAACATATATAAACATATTTTAATTATACATATTTATACATGATAAATCTTTTACTTTCATTATTAAAATGTATCAAGGTATTCATTATGTAAATATAAAAAATAATTAGGATGAATATGTTTAAGTATTTTAACGTATGATTTTATGTATTTATATTTTGTTATTGAATTGGAAATTTTATAAACAATTACGTCAATAATAGTCAGTATAAATAAAACGTATGTTATTGAAATCCGTATACATAAACAATAATTTGAAGATAATTTTTTATGAAATGTAAAAAGGACATTTATTTGTAATTGCAACACAATAACCTATATAATCATGAATGAGTATATATTTAAATTTTGGTACAAAAATTTTTCACTGACTTAATGAAAAGAAGTTTAAAAAAAAAAGTTGTTTTTATCAGATTCTTTAAAAATCTTTTAAAGTTAAAATCTCTCTCTTTAATTATCCGTGTACTCCAGTATCTATCGGAAGTTATTCGAGGAAGTGCGAGTAAGTTTAAGTGGAGAGAAAATATAAGTAAAAATGTAGAGAAGGCCTGGACACGTATTGTCTCTTCGGGGCAACAAGAGCGCATTTGTATGGTGATGTCCAGAAGACAAAGGGACATAACAGCACGGGAACAGGTAGGTATGCGCATAAGAAGCGCGGTAGGTGGGGTCGACGCATAACTCCAGGTGAAGGGGACACATATTTGTAGGTAATGGAGGAGGCCCGTGGCGGCGATGGTAGCGGTGACGGTGGAGGTGACGGTGGCGGTGACGGCGATAGCGGAGGCGGCGGCTGCGAAATTCAGTAGTTACTGGTCGCAGCACGCAGACCGGAACCATGAGCCGCCTTGGGAACGCTGTCCTCGTCCTGGTCCTCACCGTCCTCTCCACCAGTGAGTCCATCATTTATCTCGATTTATTTTCCCTCGTGTATTTAAATCGTTCATTTTGGCTTTCGAGTTTTCTTTGGCCTTTCTTCAGCATAGCAAAGATGGTGTGTTATATCAGCAGGATCGAATTCGCGCAGCGAAATAATGTTCTTAGTTTGAATTCCAATAGTCGGATAGTCGAGCTTATTGAGACGATATATTTTTCAAGGCTCTTTAATACCGTGAATAAAGGATTTTTTACTTATCAAAGGGGATTAAAATGAAAGTACAGGCAAGAGCAGTTGCTTTGCACTTATTTAAGTAATATCTTTCCAATTTATGTTTCATGACTTATTGGTTGAGATTTTCGAAGAAAGGATAAAAAAAAGCGAATGAAAAAAAAAGAAAACTAAGTACTGATGTATAAAATCATTGATTGATAGAGAAGTAGGAGAGGAGTGCGAGCGAGGCGCACGTTGTGCCTTCTCTTTTATTCGTAAGAGAAGTGTTGCGACCACCCGATTACTTTCACTGACATACGGTTATGTCGGCATCGTAACTCTTGCACGATAAAAACATATTATTCTACTTATGACTTTTGACCAACCGAATGTTTTTACGGAGTTGTTTTTTGTTGTTCTTTTTTTATGATTAACTTATTACGCACATAATGAAATTTCTTAATTAATAGTTTGATTCTGGCAATCATGAATATAGATGATTATTATATTATAATTGATTTATGAATATGTTAATGCTTGTTCTGCTGAAAAAAATGTTGTTTTTATAAATAAAATTATATTAGTTTAACATATCGATTGTTTCATTTTGTTATCGAAATCATGTTAAATTCATTAAGTTTGGTCCAGAATTATTATTCAGTTATTTATATTAAGTACCATTAAATAAGGGAGAATAGAAAAATTTCTATGATAAAAATTAATTTAGCAATGACGCATAAACTTTCAACAACAAAAAATTATATAATTAACAGTGTATTTAATCATATTTTGTCAATTTTTTTTTTTTTTTTTTTTTTTAAGAATTTTATAAAATGATATAACAATTTAATGAAGATTTTTATTAATGAATATATATATTAATAGAAGAATATTTTAATCGTGATGTTATTTTAATGGAACTACTTTACAATAATATAAATGAATAGTACTGAATTTTGTAAAAATCATTTTTGACAAGTACAAATACAAGTAAGTATTTGTATCATAATAAGTACAAATAAAAATAACAGCCATAAAAAGGATAAAGAAAAGAGCAAGAGATTGAGATTGACAGAGAGAGAGAGAGAGAGAGAGAGAGAGAGAGAGAGAGAGAGAGAGAGAGAGTCATTAAATGTCATTAAATGATATACGTCTTACATTAATTGAATAAAGATCATTTTTCAAATTAATAATTTATATACTTTTATTAAAATATATAAGATGTAAACATAAAACTATTGTAAAATGTGAGATATCGTAGTATCTTGAACATAAATTTACATATTCTCATTGTCATTAAAATATGTAAAGAAATAATTATTTTCTTATTATTTAATATGCGTAAGAAATTTCGTAAGAAAAGTTAAATTGTTATGCACCTTCCTTTTATGCAGAATTTTATCAAATATCATACGAGATTAGCATTGATACAAAAGATAACGAAAGAAAGACAATATATTCTATTATTCTATCATATTATATAATTATTGTACTTAATTCAACAAAATTTGAATATTCGACTATAATTTTATCCATTTATATAAATTTTAATTGCTCGCATAAAATACAATATATGTATACTAATAATATCTATATTTAAAGATAAGTAAATAAGATTTTTAGACTCCTGAATACTTTCTAGTAAATTTTACATAACAATTGAAATGGTTACTTAAGAATAAATAATAAAAATTATGTAAAATTAATATGGCTTCGTTATTTTTGTAATGTTTATTTTATAAAGTTCCAGGAAAAATTGAAACGGTAAGTGTTATAAATTATACTTAATAATCAAGTAACAATGAAAAATACTTTCTATCAAATAAAAAGTATATTGGTTTATTACGATTTTATTTATTACTATTTACATAAGGGATAATATAATTTATATGCCAATTTTGTATTAAAAGAATTTTTAAATGAATTAAAATACCAAAATTAGTACAATAAATAATTTTATTAAATAAAAAGGTATGTTCGTTAGCTTTAATATTTAAAAATTATTGATTAATCATATTAATTATTATAGATTATTTAAATTTTATGTATTGCTCACTTTAATAGAAATGGTAATTATTAATAAGTTCAATAATTGTTATTGATAATTGTTAGCTTGTCTGCGCATTTCGAAAAATAAATATGATTCCTAATGTATTCCATTATAGACAAATATATAAAACATAGTCAATAAAAGTTATTGTTAAATTGTTCATCGTAAACACAATCCCAACTTATCTTTCTCTCTTTATCTTTCTCTTTATCTCTCTCTCTCTCTCTCTCTCTCTCTCTCTCTCTCTCTCTCTCTCTCCCTCTCTAAGCGGACAGAACCAAAGAGATAATATGGGAATCAGTACAAAAAATAGAAATGACTCAAATTACATAAGTTAAGTTGAAAATCGTAGGAAAGCTGAACAATCCATTACTATTTATTTATAAATCTTGGATGTTCGTGATCTACTTGCATAAACAAGTCATCGGCAAAGTAACAATACAGCAGTATCAGTCACTGTCATTATTGTAATATTAGCCAAATTTTTTACGGCTTAAAGGAACGTAGCTTTTTTCCAAACATTGCCGGTCATCCAAGTAAGCGTAACCTCTTCAGCCGATTCCCTACCCATTGTCCTACTCTCTTTTACATTGCTCCCGACCAATGCACAATCGGAGCCCAAACAAAAATAGAATATTTTTTCAGCGGAGGGTGTGTCGCTATCGGGAGCGCCTCATTGCCCCGAACCCTATGGTGAACAAGCCTACCCTCATCCGGACGACTGCAACTCCTACTTTCTCTGCACGAATGGCACCCTGACGCTCGAGCACTGCGAAAACGGACTGTTGTTCGACGGGAAGGGAGCCGTGCATAACCATTGCAATTATCATTGGGCTGTGCACTGCGATCAACGCACCGCTAACCGTAAGTATTTACTCGCTTTCTACCACCTTTATGGGATGAGTCACTCAATTGTTGCTCTATTATTTTATCGTCAAAAGCAAATTGTCACATTCATTACGATGAGAATCGATAAAATTAGTTTCCTATTATTTAGCGCTGTCGTTAGGCTTTGTTGAAATTATTGTTTTCACACTTTGTGAAATTTGGAATTTTTTTGTATTCTAATCTTATTCCATATATTGTATTACTTAAAATATGTGGTTTTATTGTTGGCTGAAAAATAAAAAAAAAAAACAAAAAACATTTATATGAAAAACTCAGCAATTAATATGGTAATTCATCCTAAAAACTGTCGATTAGTTCAAATAATTTTCATAATTACGTTTTCATTTTCTGTATTACATATTAGCTTATATTGCAAAAAGTACTGAAATAAATAATAAATAATACTTTCCTACACTATAATCGAATTAAAGGCTTTATGATTGGCACTAGCGTGACGAATTTTTTTCTTCTTTTTCATTAGTAGTTCGCCTACTCAAGTGGAATTTATTTTAAAAACTTTTTTTTACTTACATATGTACTTCGCAAGTATTTTATGATTTTTTTAATGTACAATTATTATTTTTAATAACGACAACAAAATATTAACATCTTCTTAAGCGCTAACACACACACACATATATATATATATATATATACATATATATACATATATATATATATATATATCCGATTGAATTTTCATAACATGGCATCGAATATCTTTTATAGCTTATACAACATTATCTAGTATGATATTAAATACATTCTCATAATAATCATAATTAAAATTATTCAAATACATTTATAAAAAAAAATATATATTCACTTGTTAGAGATATTTTAAATTTATTATTTTTGCATTTATACGCATTATTTTTTTGTATATAACTTTTATATAAAAAAAAAAAAAAAACTAATTAAATTTTAATATTCTTAATAGTCAATGATAAAAATAATAATAATAACAACAATAATAATAATAATTAAAATGCAGATGCTAGGCACCCATTAAAAAGTAATATACCGATATTCTTGTCCTCCTAACATTGTCGTTCGCACATAAAAAGTCATTGAGATTTCAGTAATACCGCTGAGTTCGCCGGGATGTGAGTACCAGTTCGGCATTTATCCGGACAGCGACTCTTGCAGCACGAGTTACATAAAGTGCGCATACGGTGAGCCACACGAGGCTCATTGCGATCCCGGACTCGCCTATGACGACAAGAGCCACACCTGCGTCTGGCCGGATCAACTCCTACCCTACTGCAATCCGGAGGCCATCGTCGGCTTCAAGTGTCCCCATAGGCCACCCACTGGAGCAGCCGCTAGATTCTGGCCCTTCCCCAGGTAAGATGATCAAACGAAGAAGTCGCAATTATTTATTGTCATAAGGAGCGGAAAATGGCAAGAGCTCGATAATTTATTATAGAATATCAGAGTTCTTCTTTCTGTCGCATTTATAGAAATAGTAGCCGGATTATATAATAAGGGGAAGAGAATGGTTGAATAGATTAGCAAATTTAAAAGAAAAATGTTTTATTCCTTTTTCTTCGTTTCTTTTTCTTTTTTGTTTAAGAGATATTTGTTATTGCGTTAGTAGCGTTATTTTTTAATAGTAATACTCATTAAGGTTGACTATTAATGATAATACTCCACCGTATATTCCTTTTATTATAATTAGATATATAGAGTTTGAGAAAAGAATATTAGAATTATATGAATATGCATACTATTTACATGCTGGCTCCGTGAAAATTATAATTTGCTAAACTCTTTAACTATCGTGAAAAATATATATGTAATTTACTGGAATTCATTACAACATCGATAAAGAATCCGAATAAAGAAAAATCATATTTTCTAATTATATTTATACGTATGTAGTATGACTCTTAAAATTTTTCGGTAAAATAAATAAATTAACATTAAAATTATAAAAATAATATGTCAATAGTCAAATAAATGTAATTTTTTGTTGAACTGAATATTTAATCAATTAATGTAGTTTAAAACTCTCCTAGAGTTATAAAAAAAAAAAAAAAAATATTAAAAAATAAAGAAAGAAAGAAAACAAACATATCCTGACACTAACCATCCTATAAACATCTTCGTTTCATTTAATTCTGAATAAATTCTAATAACTTTTTTAATTACCTTTCTTCGGATCTCGTGATAATAAAGTAACGTCAAATTACTCCGCTAGAATTTTAAAGAAGAATGCGAGTAATATTCTTGCTAGGTGGACAATTATCAGAAAACTAGCAATGCAATTTTCGCAACTACCTTCATCTTTTGCCGATTTTTTAGATTCCCGGTACCTGGTGATTGCGGCCGTCTAATTACTTGCGTTGATGGTAATCCGCGCCTCATCACCTGCGGCGATGACAAGCTCTTCGATTCCGAGTCTCTCAGCTGTCTCGATAAGGACGAACTTCCTCATTGGTTAGCCTCACCTTTTTCCCTTCTATTTTCACTTAATTTAAAATTATATTTATCACGAGATTCTTTCATTGCAGTGCTTAGAAAGGTACAGATTACGAAATACTCGGATGGAAGGTAATTATTATACATCAATGTACATTTATAAATATGCCTGGATGAAACGTCGCTCGCCCGTTCGATTAAAGAAGCGAACTTATCGCCGTCGACCATTGGAAATATTATGATAATGATAATTAATAGAAGCATTTGGATGTGTGAAAGTAAATAAGAGTACAAAGATTAAATAAAGAAACAGAAATATGTGGTTTAAGTGTATTATGTATAAAAAATACATTTGTAAGTTTATTTTTACAAAAAAAAAAAAAAAAGTTCTACGCCATAAACATACACTTATTATCATATTTTTTTTGAAATTTTTTTATTAGGTTTTTTTTTTTTTTTAATCAGCATTATTTATGAATAAAACGCAATAATAGAATTGGAAAAGAAATATTTACATTCAGATATATTAAACTTTACAATATAATAAAGTATTGTTAGAAAAAAATGTTTATTATTCAACTGTCGTTACGATAGTAACGAAAAATTATAAAAACACGTGCCTGCGTAACTTAAATTGGAAAAATCGTTGATTTATTTAAATTTCCCTCATATTCGATTTAAAATCGTAAAATGCAGACTCCTAAAAATGAAAAAAAAAAAAAATAAACACGCTTAAGGAATCACAACTACATTACAAACGTGGTTGAACATACGATAGTGATACAGTTTTCTTTTCTTTTCATTTGTTATGAAATATCGATAAATTTCCGAATTCCGAGGTCTTGACACAAGTCTCAAAAGTAGTAGAATTTTTATTTAAGTCTGTAAACGCTACATAAATGTACACGGTAAAACAGAGTGTTGCTCGTTGGATTTCCCTTGTGCATTACTCAAATGGGTTAATTAAGTTTTTTCTCAAATTAACTAACGATATAAGTAACTATTTTCCATTTACATTCAATTAAATGTACGTGCTAATTAATAGGCGAGCAAATTATTACGCATCTATTACGTTAAGTATAATATTACATGCGCATTTTTACATAATATTTATACGATTTTGTCAAATAAATTTATTCGATATTAAAAATATTAATGAAGCATAAATTTGTAGAATTTACTTGGTATTTGTGCATTGGGAATTTCGACAAATAATTTTTTTAAGCGTGAAATAAATAAGAAAAGAGATTTTTATTTATTAAAATATTACTCTATTTATTTATACTATACTGGTTTTCTAAAGAACTAGCCTTTTTTTTTAAATACGTTTAAAAATAAGGATAAACAATTGTTAAACGCAATGCGAGAAACATGATTCTAAAGAGCAATAAGAAGAGGACAACTTTATGACGTACCGTGTACATATTAGAAGTACTTTAGTACAGACGCTAATGAAACAGAGGTAAGAGTCAAATTAAAAATAAAAATGAATAACGAAAAAAGAAGATGTATATGGATGCAATAATTACGCACGTCTCTTTGCAATCCTCCTCATTCGCGACAAAAATAACCATAATCTCTCTCTCTCTCTCTCTCTCTCTCTCTCTCTCTCTCTCTCTCTCTCTCGTTCTCTCGTTCACTCGCTTACATCCTCACAGTCACGCGCACAGCTTCTCGTTCACTATCTCCCCGTCTTCTTCCATCTCTATTTTTCTTTCTCTAAGTCCATTAGTTCCTTGGGCGTCCAGCCCTGAGGGGTATGGGGATGGCGCCGTGAGGCAGAGGCGCTACTCCTGGTGGTAGATTTTCCTCCTCGGGCTCTTGCTCGTTCCTGTTCTCGGGCAAATCACCCTCCAGGTTTGCCGGCGTCGTCGGCACATCGCATTCCTCGGTCGGTGGTACGACGCAGCGCAGCGAACGCCTGTCAAAGACCAGCATGGCTGGACATCGCTGGAGTCGGGGGTAGCCACCTTGGCACTGCCAGTAACGGTTACAGGATTTGCCCAATGGCACGTTACCATTTGCGTCTTCGTTACAAAGAGCTGCGTACACAGGACATTTAAATGCTCGATCAGTAGGTAATGGAGGCTTTTAAGGATCTTCAGACCGAAGGTCTGTTAAAGATAATATTGTGACATTGTATAAAAAAAAAAAAAAAATAATAATAATAAAAACAAAAAATAAAAACAAAGACCAAATACACAACGGATATTAATGTTAAAAATCTTATATAAATTCTACAGCTTCCTTATGAATTCAAAAATACAAATCATTCGTTTCAGATTATTTGAATAATGTCCTAATTATAAACTAGAATTTATATTGATATTGATTATCATCGACATCATCATCAACATTATCATCATTATTATGATTATTATTATTATTATCATTATAGATTAGTTACTTTGACCTTATCGCTGTGCATTTAACTTTAATTACTCGTTTGATTTTTATACTCGTTAGATCCTCACATAATATCAGTTTTTGCTTCAAGTAGAGTAACAGACTATAAAATTATAAAAAGTTTTGTTTACTTTTATTAACCGAAAATCGCGAGTTTAAGATATTTTACAGATTCTCGATAAGGTTTTACATTTATCCTATTGCTAGCAACGACGTTCAAATCACTTGAATTTATAGTTTCGCTACTTCAATTAGAATTGATGTTTACTAAGCAAGTAATTTATCAATAATTAAATATTGCGTTTACAATGATAAATATTAAAAAAAAAAATTTTTTTACTTTTTCTTTAAATAAGGACCGAAAAGCATAGTACTTTAGTATTTTAAACGATAACATGAAACTCTAGTATCATTGAATTACGACAAAAATTTTAATTTTATCATTAACCAGCAATATGAATTTCTGTTAATTAATCTTTAAAATTTATTAAGTAATAAATATAAATTTTTTAATGACAATTTAATTTTTTGTTTATCCCTTATTCATAAGCGCACCATGCTAAATGCTTTTCTATTTTCGAGAAATAAAGTAAGTTTTAAGAAGCTTTAGAATTACGTAAAGACAGTCGGATAACAACGTTACTCAATAATTGTTAATTCGATTATCAGAAGTCAACGAACTGTGCAAACGTACAATCTGAATTCACAATAAGTTTACTCACATATAGCATGGAACATACATAAACTCGGTTTAATAATGAAATACATACACTGACACATGACAACATGAATTTCCCATTCATAAGCAATCACTTTTTCCGAATTATTTGGTGCGTAAGAAAGCTTATATTTAATTTAGCCATTAATGGCCTTTATTCCCAATAATCCTTCCACGGTATTTTATAGCCTCTGTCGTTCGATTATCATCAAAAACTAAAATCTTTTAAGACTCTGCACTCAAATATACACAATTTTGATAATCATCTTAATTTTTTCTTAACCAACTTATTTGCATAGGAAAATAATACTTTCTAATCCCGGCATTCTGCTTCTCAAATACCCAAATTATGTTTCTCAATCACTTAATGGTTGCAATATTCCATCATTATGCAACTGTAACACGTTGGATATCCCATCGACTCTATAGAGACATACATTTAAATTACGCGCATGATTCTCGAAAACTAGTATATCGGACTCAATTGTTTCACGAGCAATTCATCTACGAGCCGATTTCAATCCTAATGGGATTAAGTAAATAAGGTCGCTCTAGCGTAACTTACGGTGCTTCTGGCATCCCTCTACGTTCTCCGGCCAATCGCAGGACCTCGCCCGTTCGTTATACAGGAGTCCGCCGATGCAGAGCTGCTCAGTAGCTGTACCGTTCCAGCAGGTCCAGTACCTCGTGCAGCTGGTCTCGTGACCGAATATGCCGTAGAGCCAATCGCAGTGCTCCGCGGCTATGGGGGGGTTCGCCTGGCGCTTACCGTCGCAGTAGTTCGCCCTCCAGGGATAATCGCAGCCCTCGGTGACTCCGCGATGCTTACCCGCGAATACTAAACCGTTTGGGCAGTCGAACAATTCCGGACGACCGTTCACGCACTCCCAGTAGCGATCGCAGTACTCGATGTCCCCAACGACGCGCGACTTTGTCTGGCAGGGGTCCTCCTGCTGCTGCTTCTGGGCCTGAGAAGCTGAAATAACATCGCAGAAGTTTCTTAGTTTGGCTCTGAGTTATTATCAATTATTGGCTTTTCAGACGTCAGCCAAGTGATTTTTAGACTTTGCATATAGATGCTCGGCATAATGATTCCGGCGAGCAAATACAGACACCTCAGTACTTATGCCACGTCTTTCGTTGGCGACGGAATTCGGATAATATATAACAAGTTGGATATTTATAATACGCTCGAATACTCATGTAAATATTTTTTTTATACACATATAAAAAAAAATGGTGCACGTGTACTAAAACTAGTATTACATTAGGTGAGGATAGGCTTTATGTTAGCAAACAGTTAATTAATGCAACTTTAATATCTTCAGAATGTCATTAAAAGAAAAAACAGAAAACAAGAAGAAGAAAAAAGGCAATATATTTAAATTATTCAAATAATATATTGGAACTGTACTTCTATTATCTGAAAATTTTCATATAAATTTTCTCATATGCATATTGAAATATAACATTCTTATTTAATTCTAAATTTATTCATTCTTTTTAAATTTGATCACGTGTACAGTAAAACATGTATCAATACAATATATGGACTCACTTATGTATTTTCAGATTTATGTATTTATAATTACAAGAATTACATATAATCTATGAAGATTCTTTCAATTATTAAATTTTATATCATCCTTAAATAATGTAGATATGTCGTTGAAGAATATAAGAGAATCTTATGAGAAGAGTTGATAAAATAATTTCATGATTGTGTGTGTTTAAGCTGTTAATACTTGTCGATTATCTGATTTTTAATCATTTATATATATATATATATTCATTCAAATAATCACAATTGCAATTTATACCTTTGGTAAATTTCTCAACCGGAAAAGTTAGTTTTTTTTTCATGAATCGAAAGCGCTAATAAGAATTAAAATATCTTATAACATACAATTATATTTAGTATTTAAAATGAAATCAATGAAATTTAGCTGGACGAAATATTTAAAATTTATGCAAATAATAATATGTGAATAAAAATAAATATTTTATTCACAAACATTTTAAAAATAATAATTTATGTTCATTAGTGTCTTCGATAGAAAAATAATTAAATAAATATTTAATAAATATTAAATCAATTGTGTATAAAATATATATATGTTAAGAAATAATTTAATATCTTGTCGCACAATATTCTTTCATAAATTGCATATAATATCGACACCATTAATTTTAAAAATTTTATTTTACGATTAATTTTATATTTTAATAAACATAAAGTTAACCGATCCATTTAAGTACAACTATTATGAAATAATGAAGCTTAGCAACAGTTATAAGGGTAATTGATTTAATACAAAAAAATCAAGGAAGTTTGGTTTATATTTTAGGGCAATAAATTACAAAAATTATACATTTGATATTCTCTCAATTTTCCCTCTTTCTTGTCTGATTTTTATTATATATTTAATACTACATTATTGTAGTTATTATGAAATGAATAAGATTTTCAGGAAAAAAATAAATAAAAATTACAATTTTCATTATATATTTTGCACGAGGTATGTATAAAATTTCATTTAAAATAAAATTAACTAATAATAGTAAAATAAGAGTTATGACACAATAGTATTTATAAATTTAATTTCAATCTATTTAAATTTATCTATCATTTGCGCATATTTTCTATAAAATTTTTCTCCATCTTAAATTATTTTTCAATTTTCTTATAAGAAAATTAATTTATCATATTGTGTTAATATATTTAAAAGTAATTTTTATAAAATAGTAATGTTTTTATATATTATCAGGGTATATACTTTTACTCTACTCGATATTTAAAATAATTTTAATTTAACGTAATAGTTAAAACTAATGAATACACTTTCAAAAGTTTTGTATTAAAATTTCAAAATATTATTTGAAGTTTTTTAAACTCATATATATATATATATATATATATATATACAGTGATTGAATTAAAGTTTCTTGGTGCTGAGATTAATGAAAAGTTTATTTATATGTGAATGTTTTTCTATAAATTAATAATACACTATTGTTAATTTTAATATGAGCTATGGTTCAATTTTTTTGGCATTGAATAATACGTAATGTTGCTATCGTACTTTTTTGATATTTTGTTTTTTAAATTATTAAAACTTGGGCGATTGTAATGTACAGGTGAGGCGGGAGAGGAAATAAATAGAGGATGAAGAAAGCGATTATATCTAAGCGAGTGTGCATACAATTTTATGAGTGAATTTATGATAAAGAAGAAGTTAAGATTAAGTTTGAAGTAAATAATCGCACGATTGAGGTGGGAAATGTCGCGGAGCTATGCTCTCAAGAGTGAAAGTGACGAAGCCTCGGTTCTACGGGTTTAGCCTTGACTTGCAACCTTCATGTAGATTTTCGATCAAGATCCGCCCCCTTTATAATCAAATATTCTCACACATACTTAATTTTCAGAAATCATCGTTCCGTCAATTTTAAATCTCCTCGAATTTATTTGCTCCCTTTAAATACTTAACATCTGAGCTATAAAATACTTTTTTAACACACATCGAGGATTAATTATAGGAATTAACAATTTTTTATTACTCTAAGTTCACTTAATCATTTGCTCAATTAAAATTTCCAAAGTTAAGGCTTTTTAGTCGAAATCGAAAATTTTAGTGAAAATTTCATATATATAATAATAATGACAATATAAATAAATGATATTTAAATGTATCTTTTGCACATCGTAGGTCCTTTAGACTTATAAAATATTAAGTAATTATGTATTATTCAGTAAAAGAATAATTCAGTAAATAAATACGTAATAAATTTGTTAAATTAAATAATTATACTTTATTTACATTGAAATGTAATAGTATTTTTTAATTTGAAATTCTGGCAATTCGATGGCATAATTGTTATAATGGAAGTTCAACCGATACGATAAGTCGATAAGGCTTCCTTTAATGTATTTCATTAAAATTCTGTGCATGTTAAAAGAAGTGCCATAAAATCAAGTATGATTAATACTTTACATCATTCGACTTACATAACATCAAAATATTAATATACTGAAAAAAATTGTTTTGACCAGTTGTTGATTAAAAATCCACCACTTATTTTGTACACGGGTACGGTCGAATGCACAGTGAAATCACGAATATATTTAGTAGCGGACTTTCCATTTATTTTTTTTTTCTTCTCTTTTTAACTTCCTATTCAATGTCGTCTGGACATTTCGAATATGTGCACACTTTCTCGGCGATTTTGTAATTATATATGATTACGGAGTACTGCTAATGTCTGCGAATCGTAAGAAAAAATGTGCTATATATATATGCATTAAACGGTCTATGAAGATTATAGGATCGTAGATGCGCTCATATGCAATAATTATAATATAAGTTAACAACTAAATGAAAGTTGGATTCAGTGCATCGATTATTTCTTAATCCATGGTAACACATTTATCGTTTCTTTAATAATTTAATAAAGATAATTAATCTTCAAGTCGTTGGAATAATTACGATTCAAATATAAATTATACATATATATATATATATAAGCGTAAATTAGAAATTAGAGATTAGTACCTTACAGGCGAAATGTTGTAAATAATACTTTTATCATAATTGAAAGAAAAAAAAAGGAAAAAAATTTTTTTTGCCACAAGTAATCAGGATAAAATTATATAAATTAAAATATCTCTTTAAAATATGAATTTATTTCACGTAACTCGACTATCAATATTTGGTTATTTTATTTTATAATTTTAAAAGAGATATACTTTTAAACATAAAATGTTTTAATGGTTCAGAAATTAATATATTGTGTAACAATTTTTATGCGTATACATGAATATTTTATAAAAATGGAAAGTTATTACATGACTTCAAATTATATCACTGAAAAATATTTAAAAAATCCAATAATTTTCAATAAAATAAAACAATGATGTTAATTGTACGAGTGAGATTGATTTTACAAAAACTTATCGGTATATAATTTATTTATAATTTCGTCGTATTATTTCGTCGATATAATCGTATGACTGGATTATCGTTATATTGACGCATGAAAGAAGCATTACATTAAATAAAATTCATAAAAATTCAATTGATCAATTGAATTTTCAATTACATTTACTATTACTATTTTAATAAATTTCTTGAGTTTATTATATATCATGAATTAACTGAAATTTCAATTGTTGTATGAATCTTACAAGGCTTGGGCCTACTTTCGATTCAAAACACATATATATATATATACTATATATACTAATTATTCAAAATTGTTGAAGTAGCACGTAATACAAAAGGGAAGGATAAAGTTGAATGTCGTTGCAGCTAGAAGCCAAACAAAAGTTTGTATCATTTCATATTCAAAGAGAGACAGGCAGAGAGAGAGAGAGAGAGAGAGAGAGAGAGAGAGAGAGAGTGACTTGTGTGCGCGTGTGTGTAGAGGGATGCCGGAAAGTGCGTAAGCAGATAAGGAAATTAAAAATAATAGCCAGTCAAGAGGACGTCAGAAAGAGTTTCCGTGCAACGTTGCGCCTCGAATTATAAACAACTGGCTTTGAGCGTTCACAGACCCCTGAAAACATTGGCCACTAATCGCATATGTACACATTTTGAAAGGGACACACACGGGAAATATAGGCGCGGCTTTTCTAACGAGCAGCCTCAAATGCCCGAGCCACTGAATAATCATACTCTCTCTTCGTTTCTACTGCCTTTCTATGCACAAAAACTCCATAATTAATTTTTAATTATCAATATTATAAATAATACTGTAAGATGTCGTTTTAGTTATGTTTTTATCCTTCTTTTGGACATTTGTTAATCATAGTTATTTTTACCAAACGTTATAGAAAAGTTAGCGATATTTTGTCTTCTTCGGGTATGTTTGATACCGTAGAGAAAAATTTAATTATTCATGACGATAATTTGTTTTCAAAATGCAACTTAGCAAACTTAATAAATAGTATTATTAACTTCTAATACTAGATATTGACAA